CTGCACCTCTGGACAATCCCAACATTTTTCCGCCAATATCATAAATTATTTATGAAATTCCGTACGCAAAAAATATAAACAAATTAGGTTATATAAATAGAGCATTAAAAAGCGGTTAGCATTTTGGAAGACCGGTTATGCGTTTTTCGTACGTATTCTTCAATGTAAAGACGAAAAGGATCACTCTCAATTTCTTAGGTGAGTGCATACAAGGTTAGTGGGTAAAATTCAAAAGATAAAAGTGAAAGAACCGAAAGTGAATTGGGAATAAGGAAATGATGCCTCTATTAATGTGCACTCATCCACATAATTGCAATGGTGCGAAACTTTCGTTTGAACCGCTTATTATTACGTGGCGAAACCTTGAAAAAGATGATATTTAAGACTGTAAAGTAAGTTAATTACTCGCTCAAGCCAAGCAAGAATGAAACACAAATATTTAGAATTTTAAAGAGTATCGATCGTGCGTATATAATTATCCTTGAAATGATATAGTATCTGAATAAGGCAAATCAATTACTGTATACAAAAACTTGATATTCAACAAGCCATTGTGCGCAACGCGAGTCAATAATTAAAAAAATAAGTAAGTTAAAGACATTAAATTGCATCAATGACGCCAAGTATGGACCAAGGCGCTCAGGAACAACATCGCCAAAATGTCAACGTGTTGTTGTAAAGTTCAGTTATTGACAAATCGTAATCTACCAATTTTGAGTTGTTTATTGTGATCGATGTGAAAGTAAAAAATATTTTTAAATACGGAAAGAAAGTGGTGCCACGATTTATTATTATAAGTACATTTTTCGGAAATTATTTTGTCATATATATCATATGTACCGTTCTTTAGATTTTAGGTCATCTGCGTTTTAAGCTGTCAAGTAGTCAATTAGGGGCAGTTACTCAAAGAAATGGTTGCGTGTTAATTGAGGACAATTAAACGCATTTTTCCATAAACAGCAATTACTTAGACAAAGGGTCAACAACTTTGAAGTGTTTAAAGTAAGTAGATTTAACGATTTAAACAAAAAGAAAGACTCTTATATACCATTTACCCTGCAACTCCAGTGAATAGGGGCGGGTTGATATTGTGTTATCCCGACGAGCAAGGATGCGTCACTTATGGTTAAGGATTACAATACTCAAACTTTTTCAAGCGTATAAAAAGGAACTTGGCGAAAATTGATAGAGTAATGATACTTATTATTATGTCAGCGTCGGCCAATTATTTGAAAAGCCCGTTGTATTTTTCGGCTGAAATGTCTCTCTTTCCTGAGGATTACTCATTAAGCTGTACCCATAAAGGCAAAATAAGGAACTTCCACGTTGGCCATGAATGCTCTGCAATGGAACTACAAATCCATTTCCAATTTTCACGCTATTAATATAAAAGAAATTCAATATTCAACTGTTTATATTGCCAGATAGTAGATACCCAACAAAATTTATGCGTAGGTTTTTTAGACTCATGTGTAGGGTCTCGAGCACCCATGAAAGACATTAAACAATAAATATTTTGTTCTAATATAATGTTAATATGAAAATGACATACTGGGTCCCAACGAACAGCTGAGACCATTATTATACGAGTTTGTACAAAAATGAGGACACAACAAACGTTTTGCCTAAATAAACCCCAAAAAGGAAACTTTGGGAAACGCTGATTGTAATTTTTTCTGATTAGTGTCTTCAGTCAGAACTTTGCTTTTCTAATTTAGGCAAATCTGTAACGAAGCACCCGTTTTCCGCCAGTTTTACTCACTCTGTAGATGAACACCTGATATCAAGAAGCGTTTTAAGTTGGACGTTTCGTTACGAAGATTGTCGCTGCGAAAGTATTTAGGAGTTAGACGCAGAAGGCAATTGATTTAATTTCTAGAGTTGTGTTTCAGTCGCCGCTACCGTAACTAACACTATCGTCAATCGATTTCTACGAGTCCAGGGAACAGTGCTAATGAATATGAGCCGGATCAAAAGTCTGGTTTCCGAATGCGAGCAGAGTGACGAAAAATTCCCCTACTGAAAATGAAAACCGATTCTTCGTATCTTGTTTCTTTTCTTAATTCCCAGATCGAATTTTTACCTTGGCTGAGCATCCAGTCTACTTCCTCTTATTGTATTTGTAAATGAGACCTCGAGTCGCAAGCAACAACTCCATTAGAATTAATTCAGTTAATTGAAATTCAAATGTTGTCTACACCTCGCACTTTATAAACAAGTTCTCTTTGTCAATTCTTTATAAATGGATGTAGCAATATCGAAGTATTGTACGTTTATTGTAGATTTAAGTTGGCATGAAATATATTATTGAATGCGTTATGGAAAGAACTTTCAGGCCCTAGTGTATCAATACGTTATTACGTTGGTGGTTGTAAAATTTGGAACACTTTTAACAGCTAATTTCGGTGTTGCCTGAACAGAAAGCATTGTGCCATTAAATTTGAATAGGGTCATTAACCAATAAAATGTTATATCCTGCTGTGACTTCTAGACAATTATGTTGTTTAGATTTGGCGATCGGTAGAGTTTAATTTGATTGCATGTATAAATTAGGTAACTTAATAATTTGACGATTTCAAAGGTTTTAATAATTGGCTTAGTTTGAAAGCTAGCCGGACCTTTGTGGGTTTCATTATGAATTTTGAAATATAATTAATTCTGGTGCAATTTGTACTTGCTAAATTAGCAATTTTTAAGTATTGCAATTTTTTATTGGGATATCTTTAGGGATATCTAAACGATCGCGACAATTACGCTATAGATTTTTAGATAAATTCAGTAATTCAGAAACGCATTCATTTAACATCTGTTATAGCAAGTTCAATTTCTAGGTTTGAGGAATAATATTTTTCAGAAAACAACCCTGGTATGCGCATAAAGTGTCCCTACTAAAATATGCACCCCCTATTAAACTGCCTCTGAAAAGTAAAAGGGATGTAAAACAGAAAATGAATATAATGAAACCCTTCGAAAAATACACTCAACCGCAACATCTTTATATACTTAAGCCTTTTTGTAACGATTACTTATTTAGTCAAATTTTTAGTCCTTTTTTTCTTCAATAAAGATAATGCTATCCTAAAAATGTCATAAATGAGTACCAGTAAAATGTAAACATTTGTACATAACCTATGTTATATTAAATCTGGAGACTAAATATTTATCTTCTGTAAACTAAGGTCTCTATCTACTGTCAACGTATTATAGTGAGCTTTAGAAATGAATATAAATTTAATTTTAATTTTACAAATTCCCTATAATCTGTCAAAAGTTACTAAAAAAATGAGGGAAAATAGGACAGGTTCTAACCATTACAAAATTAGGACAACTTTCAGTTCCTAAAATAACTACCAAAAAATTGATCAAAGTATGTATGAAATGTTCAATTTTTTTGTTCCTAAAAAAATTATTTAAAAATTGACTAAATAAGTGATCGTTACAAACGGGCTTTATGCGTTAATCTACTTAAATCCAATAAACAAAATAGCAGAGGTTTCTAATGAATTTGTACCACCACAATTGAACACCAGTTCAGCTGACTGACAATAAAAACCTGCTAGATCATTTTTGAATTCTAGTCCATCAAATTTCTTTATTTACCCATAGACCACTCAACTGAGGTTCAACTACTATGGTAGAATGGGGCTCTAAGTAGGTAATAAGTGCATTTTTATATTAAACCAAAGCGAGGGGTATCAAAACTAGAGCCTTGGTTCCATTAAAATTATTTAAAGGTGTGATCCCCATCTACAATTTGAGGCTTGGTCGCCATTCCGCACAAATTAATAATTTTTTCCGCAAACTAATCTTAGGGGGTGTAAAGTTCAGTTGGGACATCCCAAAATTGGTACCTGAAACTCAACCATCTCACACGAGATCTCACACTTTGTTGTCGCATACATTTCTATTCCTAATCGAACCACCCCTTCGTATATGGTTGAACCAAACTTACTTATAGCTTGCTTCTTACAGCGAATTCGTATTTGGAAAATGGACCCAAGTATTGAAAAATTATGAAAGATTTGCGAGATTGTTTATTTTTAGATCAAAGTGAGAAGTTTGAATATGCATTTTGCAAATGTATAGATTCCGATTTCATTGAAACGTGAGGACCTTGAATCGCTAAGATATCTAATTAAAGATTAAAGATGCAAAGAAGTTAATTAGTGTCAGTTCACCTCAAAGTAAAAAAAAAACATGTTTTTAACGACGGATGTACGACCTTAGGTTTCAAATTTAGATAAAGTAAATAAACTCAATGACAATTTTTTAATGTCTTTTACCTTCTTCCTTCATTAAGCGTCTATGAAATTCCCGTATTTTTCGAACTCAAATTCTAATTCTAACTTTGAAATTCATAAACGATTAAAACAATACATAATTGCACGGCCTCGATCGGTGGTTTTCAATTCAAAGGTCTTGGGCGGTTTATAAATAACTAATGCAAGAGCAACATAATTTCAGAGCGAAGTCCAATTTTGGGGTAGGAAGATGACCTATACATTTTCCACGGAAAAGATAAGGCTGGTGTTCATTATTAGGGGTTGCGTCCCAATTCTCAGTCAATAACCGCAACACAATCAATGAATCACAATTCTCAAAGAAACACGCACAAAAAACAAATGGGCAACTTAATGTGTTTCAATGAAATAATTTAAGTTTTTCACATACCTACCTACAGTAATTACTAAAACAACGTATAATTAAACAAATGGTTTGAAAAATACACGGGTTTAAATGAATGCTAATGCTTGCTATTAACATATGAAACAAATTTTTCGACACGGGCACATTATACAAAAATTTTTCCAAAATGGAGATTCAAAAATAAAGCATTTACTCTACAACTGTTTCTGGGCAGTGCAAGTAAATAATTAGTTAAAATCCTCTGGCGATGGTTTCTCCCAGAAAATTGATGCCAAAAACTCTGCAGTAATTCCTAAACCACAAACCCTCAACTTTTCAACAGAAAAATTAAAAAAAAAATAAAAACGACTTACGAAAAGCACTAAATATATACAGCCCATTTTTCTAAAACGATCGCTTTTTTGCGTCAACTACAAATGTACATAATCACCACGTCAAAAATTGTTTAACAAAAGTGCGTGTGCATCACTATAGGTAACAAAATAAACTAAAGTCTACGCTGTGTTATAGCCGCTTCTCAATTTCGTAAGATGCTCGTTGTTCTTTTACAATCAACCAGCTCGTTTAACAGGTTACCTTCGAAGCGTAAACGGACGACGCCAATACGTTTGACAATTGCTGCATGAAGACCATTTTCCATTTACTTACTTAGCATTGAAGATGAGCTAGAATGCCTCTTACGTAACGTCTAAACCACTCGAAGGACAAACACAAGAAGGATCGATTTATTATACACAAGCATCAGGAACTAAAGGAAGTTTCCTTAAAAACGCAATGGTCATGACACTCTTTTTTTAACCAGTAGCTTAAAGCGTACCTATAGATAGTTAGAAGGTAAGAGATTAGTATAATTGGTTATGTGAATATGATTACATAAGTCACTGTCTGAGTACGTATCCCGCGATATATATGTACGTGTTGAGGATGAGCGATTTAATAACTACCGCGATCCTATTTCCTAATCCTAATTGATTTTTATTGTTAGCATCTTCAATGGATTGATTCTCCGTGAACTAGATTGGAAACGGTGACGAAATGTCGCGGTTGATTGCGATTTGGTACAAGGATGGCACATTTCGATGCTAATTATTGACATGATTAGAACGCGAAATTAATATATTAATCGGTTACGTAACGCGACCTTTACGGCTTGAGTGTTAATGAAATCTAGTCGCAAATGGAAGTCGGGGAAATTGAAGCAGTGCAATCCACTCTTTTTTGATGTACCTATTTACGTTGTGAATTGGTATAATAAAAGGTCTTTGTTAAAGACATTAATTACGGGACATGTTTGAGATGATTACCTACCTACTAGGTACAAGGATTTCAAGTTGTACTGCGGCATCGTCATTCGTTCATGGAAGGCCAACGTTTGTTTTAAAGTATACTAACTTAATTGCGAACATGGATACCTATTCTAATAAAGAAGATTTACTGGTTATCATTAAAACTGTAACGAAAGGGTGAATCTCAATTTCTGTGCAACTAGCACTATAACTATATGACAATGCTGCTATTATTAAAGGTACAAAAGGACTGATATCTGAAAGTCATGCTGACCCATAACGTGCAAACATTACCATTTTTGTTTAGAAAACTGATTAACCTAGCTTTCATAATGTTTTCCGGTAGCTTAGCAAAACTCACAATAGGGATGAATTACTTGAGGAAATATTTCATTTTCCAAACTGGTTAAAGGTTAAAGATGACTTGCAGAGGTTTTGTAACTAAACATGCCACAGTTTTAATAATTTTCGTGTTAACTATATCGCGATTAAAAGTCATGGCCTGGGGTTAATTTCATTGTCTGATATGACGGGAAACAGGTAAGTACAATTATTGGAGGCTTCTCTACATAAAATTCACATGAATTCTCATGGATTTCGTTACATCCTTTAACAGTGGCGCAATCAGAAATTTGCTTTGGGGGGTGTTAGAATTACGAGTTGTCTTAGTATCCTACCCTTTTTTTTCGGGGGGGGGGGGGCTGAAAGAAGTAGTACAAAACTCAACCTTTTATTTTGGCTTAATACAGTGCATTAATAACAATCGAATTTAGCTTAAATGTAGGTAATTAGAATTTAAATCATGAAAGCAAGTCTTCGTGGATTGCGTGCTAGGGTGTTTAACACTTCATCACTGGTAACAATAATTTCGCAATGAACATTCAGCATCGGCAAATTAACGGTATCATTGTATAAAATGGTAATGAATGAATTTATAGCTAGCATTTCTTTGGTAGGCGATTTTTGTTAATTCAAAATAAATAGGTACCATTTTATTTTGTCGTTTTATTGTGAACTTGCTTGAAAAACCTTGCGATTTTGGGCGATTTAAGAAACCCGCAAATTTTACGATTTTGGGCGATTTCCAGGGGATATTTAACAGATACGTATGCAGTAAACGTTGGCAACCCTGACGCTAAGACAACCGGAACATCGAATTCATTTCATTTGTCCACTTCTTGTCTATGTGTATGCACTTATTCTCTTTAGAATTTTGGGGGGTGCTTTAGCCCCAAAGCACCCCCCTTGGTTGCGCCACTGCCCTTTAAGTATATAGCACGACAATTAAATGATCGGCCATTAAAGTAAAAAAGCAAAGGTTTCAATATTCGGATTGTTACTTATTACATATACCAACAACACATAATATGGGTATATCCTTGGTTACTTATTAACATTAATAAAATCATTTAACAAATTTATAATTTTTCCATTGGCAAATTATTATTTGATACAGGGTACAAAAGTTCCCAAGCTTCATCTTTTCAATTGCAAAATAAAAGTAAATAATGCAGATATTATATGTTAATACAATTATTAAAAAAACAAAATTAATTCACGATACATTTGGCGCGCTATTTATAGGACATGGTCAATATAGGTCGCGAACACCCTTGTGTCTAGCTAGGTTCTCACTCTGAATACATCTATAAGAAAGTTCACTATTGGAAATCCACATTTACATTAAAATTACCGAAAAAGAATATACCTAGTTGACTTTACCGAAGCACCTATACCAACTTGTATTGAGTGCCATCTGTAAACTCTACTATAGGAACCTAAATGCAGCCTAAATAACTAAGTAGGTATATAATGCAGCATTTTCCACTCACATACATTTCAGTGCGGACTCACGTTGTCATTTCATATAGATACGCAATTTTTGATTCAGATTAACAGTGAGCCTCTGGTGGAAGCACATTGTAATTACAATTGGTGGAATATGACCGCTATTTTGTATATTTATAATGGCCAAAAGTAATCAAAATAGTAGTTAGTATGCTGTAAAAGTAAATACACTTGCAAAAATTTAGTCAATCACCTTAAAGAGCAAGGATAGTTTAAAAAGTCCATTTTGTCACGTTAATTCAAGAATTTCAAATGCGATTAGTGAAATTATGCAACTAAAAATAAGGTCAATTTAAGAAATCGCGTCTAACGCATAATATTTCCAAAGTCTTTAAATTGTGAACAGTGGAATTACACAGCAACAAACACAACCTTCTCAAACATTTAATTTGTGAACAGTGTAATTGGACTATTCACGATACGCAAAACTTAAAGCAATATATTCACGTTGAATTTCAAGCTAATTCAAGAGAGCATCGAGTTCTTAAGAAAAATGCCTTTCAGTTAGGATAGGATTAAGGGGGTATATTTTCAAGTCTCAAAAACGGCAGGATAAATTCAATTCACTTTTAAATTAGTACAATTTCAAACCTGCCAGAATAACCCAATTTTTTTCAAACCGCCATTTGTAAATTACATCAGCGCCTCTAGTGTTCCACACATCTGAATCTGAATCGCGACCAGTCAAATGGTGATTTTTCCAAAACAAAATTGCGGAAGTTTTTTTCTCAACGGTTTTATATGTTTTCGAGGGTGCTGAATCTAAATTTATGGTTTGCTGCCTTATAGGAGATCGGCTTCATAGCCAAAAACGCAAAAATCGGTATTTTTCAGCACTTTTTTTAGTTGTTTACTTATATCTTAAAAACTACACGTTTTTTGAAGATGCGCGTTCTACACAAAATTAAAGCAAACAAAATTTTCTACAAAATGAGTGCACTTTGATTTTGTGTTAAGCTCAGCGAAACACCATTTTTTCTTCATTTCCACATAAACGTCTAAAACGCCCACTTTCATCTCTTGTAACGCAAAAGATATCTGGCATATTAAATCTTCTCACAAAGTTTTGTATGAAAAACATTAATATATTTACAAATTATTAGTTAGTTACATTATACTCAAAATAAAGCTAACGAAATGATTGAAATATGTGCCCAGGATCATCATTCCTTTGAGTGACCTGACGTCATAGCCGCAGTTAACTTGTACTTTTCCGTTTTGTTTTGCGTCCTCAACTAGAAGTCCCAGGTAAAGGGTCTTGGGCAATCGAAAGTCCAAACAAAGAGTCAGGAGCTGTGGAAGGTCCAGGCTGAATACTAAATTGTGACTGTTCTTCCACTTAAAAAATATTACATTGAAAAGTGATAGACGCGCCTTAGGTCCTCTCCTACGTTGAATTAAGTTTTTTGTTGATTACTTTTTTATTCCTCGATTTGAAAGAGATGGTACTGGGCGCTTTTGTAAAAATTCAAAAAAACGTTGTTAACAAACTCTAGCGCGGGTACCGCTTATCGCAAAATAAAAGCTAAATAATGTATTTTGTAGGAAATTTTATCTACTTTAATTTTGTATAGGGCGCCCATCTTCAAAAAAACGTATGTTTTTGAGATATGAGCAAAAAACTGAAAAAAGTACTGAAAAATTCCAATTTTTGCGTATTTCGGTATGAAGCCGACTTCCTACAAGGCAGCAAACAATAAATTCGGATGCAGCACATTCGATAGCATATAAAACCGTTGATAAAAAAACTTCCGCAATTTTGTTCCGAAAACGGCAGTTTTAAACACGCATTTACTGGACTATTAGAACATAGTCCATGTATAAGACCTGGCATCACAATATCACATGTAAGTATAATTGTGTATCGAAGTTCCTGTATGTATAATAAAGTTTGATTATAAGTTTATTAAGGATGTTAACAAAATATATGACAATTTCTTGCGAATAGGTACATCAGTAATAATATAGGGCCGATTGTAACTCAAAGAGTCACTAGGAAAAGTCACTAGTTGCGAAATAGTCACTAGTAAAGTAACTACAGATTTCTTCTCAAGTAAAGGATGAATTGCTTCTGAAGTATACTTGTAATTGGAGCGCCGCTGAGGAGAAAAAAGCTTCAATATTCTGAGTTATCTTATTTAATTTTTCCAAATATGAAATTTTTTTCCCCTGATTTTAAAAAGGAAATTTCACACTTAGGAAAATTAAGACGAAATCTAATTTCTTCAAACGCTTCATTCATGATTTTTAAGTTAGATAATACTATGTCGCATTTTCCGCTAAGAGCCCCATTTAACTTAAATTAGAATTTAATCGTTCAATAGTACTATGAATTGCTAGTCTAAACATTACGGAGGCGAATGGGCTTCCTTACTGACATCCTATACTTGAAGATTTATTTTCATTATAAAAAAGCGTAACATTGTCATAAATAAACAATTTCTGGAATATTTTCCATTATATTATAGAGTGTAGCATAAAATTCCTTTCCACGCTATCGAAGGTAATCATTACGTCAATCTAGCTTCTTTACAATTTCGTATATAGATAAGTGCGTTTGGCATGGACCGCTGCTTCGCAACCTCTTTTTGTTGCGAAATCAAGTTGTTTCGGGCGAAATTTATTGTCAAGACTTGGCTCAGACACTACTGCAAGCCAATTTAGAAACAAGTCTTCTTAGTGTGCATCCGACAGTAATTGGACGGAGTCCTCCACATTTCTTGTTTAATTAAGCAAAAAGACTAGCACCGTATATAGGATTGGAGTAAATTCCGCAATAACGCTACTAGACGGCATAAGATTACATAAATTTGATAATTCTAATAAAGTTCTTGCCCACAAGTATTATTCGAAAGTGAAATTACATGGTTAAAAATTTTAAGGTCTTAAGCCATCAATGCCTCTAGCAAAATCATTTATTTCATACTGTCCGGTAGATGTTCGATTACACTATCATTTTGAGTCCGGTAGGTGAGTTATTACAGCATCAGAGCCGGTAAGTGTCGCTAACTTAGACCATATAGTACATGGACTGCTAATTGTAACTAAAATATGGTCAAGGACATCGCCTGGGTATGTGAGTTTCAGGGTAAACGAGTCTGTCCGAAATTGCCCGATGAGACACGATTTGAGACTGTCAACCTATAAACATTGAATTTATAACTATCAAATTCAATGCTATAAATTGACAAATGTCAATTAATTAATCGTCTACATATGGCAAAAAAAGCAAACCTGTCCTTATTTGTGGACGTATAGAAGAAAATCAAGAGTATTTAAAGCTTCTCGTACTACGCGGTTACCATAAAAGCTACTCTTTACGCAATCCAAGTGGTGTTCATACGACTTTATTTTACCCTGAGATTCACATACCCACGACTACAGTGCCCTCTATCCGTGACCACCCATTTTGTATTGAAAGCATAGGGCTAATAGCAGTCCATGTACTATATGGTCTAAGGTCGCTAAGCAACACTTACCGGACTGTTATTTGTATACATCAAATTTGACATCTTCACACAAATAATTCAAAACCCCAACATAAATTTGGCTGTAATTCTTTATTTCAAACATTAACATTGATTGTAATGAAACAATTTGTATTGCCCTCAACACTAACGCCTGGGTTATTACTGGATGTCGAGTTAGTAATGTTTGATTCCTTCTGCTGTAGAACTTCAATGAAATTTTCGCCGCCTTGTATCAGTTGTATCATACGGGCAATCTTAACTTTTCCTTCTACCGAGCCTTCGACGCATTTTTCTGCCGTCGATGAGCATTTCCATGCCCCATGAATCTTTAACACCGAAACCCAGGCAGAATAATCTCAATTCCAAAACTTACTGCATCCAAAAAGTATGCCAACATGACGTTTTCCTCTACTTGTTTGGCTCTATGTTCGTTCCTCAATTGGCAAAACACTTAGTACTCTTTTTCATACCTTGCGGCCGACTTCTTAGGAACCAACTTTTCGGTTGCTTCATGAGATTTCGACAGGATTGTATCGGGAACAGTGGAACATCCCACAACGTTTATAGCGTCCATTTTTCAGTGAAAAAAATTCAATGTCAACCACATGTCAACAAACTATAGCAACGGCCATTGCCACAGAAACAAGGTAATGCGATTTTTACAATATAATGAAATTTTGTAATCTTTGAAATGAAATAATGATACAGAACAGACTTACAGTATGAAATAAAATACGTTACGATATACGTCCGGTAGTACTTGTAACAGTACTCGTTTAAGACATTCTTGACTCGGCTCCTGACGTCGCCTCGTCCATAATGTCTAACTCGTACTGTTACAAGTAACCTACCGGACTTATAACGTAAATAACTATAGGGAAAGAGGCAACACATTTTTTGTTATTATTTTATCAATAAATGTGAATCTTCTTCAGAAGGTGGGTTTGGCAGATTAAGTTCGCGTAAGTCCTCCGATGATAACAGGCAAACTGTTCCACGTATGTCTCCGTCTGAAACTTTACCTTCCACAGATTTGATAGGGTTGGTGTTGTGAATTCTAGTGGTGTGTTTGATTTCATAATAAATTGTGATAAATGTGTTTGTTCTTGCTCTTGGGTTCCACATTAACAACTTTATAAGAAGATAAAAAAAGCTCTGCTCATGATTCGACGATGTTCTTTTTAATATATGTTTTAGCTTGTTTGCGACAACGTATTTGGTTGCTCTTGCGATTCTTCTAATTGGATTATTTAATTTGTTATTTCTGATTCTATCAATAAAATAAGTACTTGTGCTTTGATTCATCATACATTTTGGGTTAATTTCTGCTTGATAAATCCGTTTGATGTGCAGGGACCTCTTTTTTCCAAATATTTGTTGCAGACTGGACACGTTGTATACTGTGTAGGAGGAGGGTCAACGTCTTCTAGTTGAAATGAAAGACAGCTTTATTTTTATAATTTCTGATTACCAAAAATTACTAAAATCGTTAAAAACTTGTAAATATAAAGCAGAAATACAGTGGCAGTGCTTGCTAATACTTGATTAATTATGTAATTGATCCTGATGCGTTTTCAGGGTTAGGTATACTTTCAAGAAGATTTCAAAAATGATTAATTAGTTCATTTCAGATCAGGTTGTCGAAATGTCAAAAAATACTACCAATACAAAATATTCAAACATTTACGAATTAAAATTCAAAAATTAAATAACATATAGGTTAACAAGAAAATGCGTGAATACGTTGAAGCTTTGCATTGCATCTAGTGAAACGGAATCGCCACCCTCTTACAAACGGGATGGATCATATGATACATTGCTTGAATGTTTATTTGACTCTCAAATGAAATCTATCATTAGTTTTGACTTTAATCTATAATTTGTTGGTCAACAAAATAATAGGTATAAGTGGTAATTTCTCAATGAACTGCTAAAAAAAGTAAAAAGCTAAAAACCTCGACTTCTACCCCATACGCCGGCGCCGTTGAAAGTTTATGCCACCACACCTAAGATGATGAAAGTACACTTGAAAATGAGGCTAAGCTTCTTTTATTTTTCTCAGTGTTGGAAAACGGCTCGAATTACGTTACAAATTGACTGCGATATCAATCGCCAATCGTCATTTAAGTAGTAAATGATCATTGAGTAATTTTTATACATGCTATTAGTAACCTTTGGTCGTTGTATAAACCTAAAATTACTAAGATGTGGTCAAATTCTGCCTCCCACCCATTCTGCAGCAAAACGTGAAGTTGGATCCATTTATTACAATCCGATTTAAAGCACACGCAACGCTTTTGACAATAGTGCGAAACTAGTCGGTAAAAAAATTATTATTTAAATTAAGAATCTTGTACAACAATATAATTTGTCTTTTGACGTGCCTCTTATTAATATGTAACAATATTTATTAACTACATGTTGAGAAAATGAATTGGGCGCATAAGATTGTGCCCAACCATGTCTTGTTGCTCCTTAAAACGCGTACCTACATACATAACGAAATTAGTAATTAAAACAAACTTGAAATAAGTAGTAGAAAATCAGGTTTTCGACCACACGCAAACGAATATGAATGATCATATATGGTAACTGGCAGACAATTATTGTACTTCGTGGACACAGGTACTTTCAATATTGTTTTAATAGTGTCCATATCCAGCGCCGTCGTAAAAGTAAATATTTCCATAACCATCTCCGTATGTTTCTTGATAATCATCGTAATAACCGTTTCCGTAAGAACCTAGAAATAAAATTCTGGCAGTTAATGAAATAAATTAAAGAAGAATTAAAGTAGGTAACATAAGTCCGTACGTGGTTATAGGCAACAAAGCTGTTTAACATGGAGGTGCTACTGTCATTTTCGAACTGATTTCAATGATTTTTGAGGTGACAGCCGCAAGCAGAGCAAAATGTCAAATCATTTTTTGATGAAAATTAAACACTCGAGCTTCGCTCTCGCGTTTAAACATTCTGGTTTGATTATATCCTATCTAAAACACATATACAATAAATAACTATTAATGTGGAAATTGAATATAAGTACTAGTTTAAGGTAATGTGCTTGGGAAGTTTTATAGTTCAAGTTTCATACCTTTAAGGAGAAGCACGCAAATTATATTTGGTGGAAGTTAAAAATGATCAAGGAAAATTGGATCTGTGTTTTCTTAACAACCTCTGGGCAAATTTGAAGCCGTCTGTATTGTATTTTTACGGTCTATGAACCAATAAACCCATTATAATTGGATTTGATAGAAAAAATCAAAAATTAGTGTCTCATTTAAATTTGGTTTGTTCAAAGTCTAAGCAAGAAAATCTCTCAATTCGTGGGTCCATTATGATTTTTTATACCTAAGGTTATTTGTATAATTATTTAAATAAACAAAATGCAAACAAAATTTATCAAGTTAGGTTGAAAACAACAAAGAATACCTGTAAAGGGAACTGTAAATTGTAACTATTTCATTCTTTGATGTTTACGTCAATATATTCGAAACTTTACGGTAACTTGGGGGTTTAATTTTCCCAGAATGCCATTTAGGTTCAGAAAAAAGGAGAAATCTTCAGTAGGTCACTGTAAGATGTCAGTCAAGGGCTAGCCGGAGGTCAGTTAATTCTTTTGCTAAAAAGTTTTCACTCAGAAAGTCAAAATTTGATTCCAAGGGTTGTTACCATGGTATAATGTTGTTACGATCACGATGTGATAAACTTAAAAGACAAGCCTATAATTTAATTACATTAAATCTAAGGTATTTTGTAATTGTCAACAAGTAATTGTCGGTGGAAGATTTCTTTGTTTCGACTGTTGCTGCTTTTTTTATTGCAAGGTTCTTTATAGTTATACAATCACAAAGCAAAGGACAATACTGCTGGAATGTATCAATGGCTACTTCTTTCCAGTTTAATTAATTCATTAAAATAGCTAGTATATAAATGTAAATTCTGTTTTGGTACTTTGTTGCGTTGCTTTTCATTTGCATTTTTATGATGTTACATAATTATCCCACTACATGAGCATATATCATAATGAAATTGATTAAAGAATCTAAAAAGGTTGCCATTTCCTTCTCCACCCTGATCTACAGATGAAGAACAAGGGCGAAATATTTAAGAAAATGAATCGGAAGTTACTTTTTGAGCGGACCGAAAGTAAGTAAGTAATTTGACAACGACACTAATATCGCTTTACTTATTAAGTAAATGCCAGGATAATTACCGCGATTGGTATTTGATATTTGAAATCATCGTGTCGAAAAAAAGGCAAACGCCTCGTAGTGCAATAAACCAGATATTCCACTCATTCAATTACACCGCTGTTGACATTTTTACATGCAATGGACAGGTAACAAAACACGTCTTGATCTTTCCTAATTAACAGCTGAAGAACTTAAGCGTAAAACTATATCCAATTATACCTTATGGTTGCTTTCCTTGATATTTAAACGGCACTAAATCGAGAGCGTTCCTAAAAAGATTACTACCTATTTTTTTAAATGTCACTTACAATAATTTATTGTTTTAATCAATCATGTCTTATGTGGCGAAATTACCTAGAATGGGTGTTGGATAATGCTGTTTTGTAATGCGTGGAAATATGACAGGTGGCCGTGGTGGTGGTGGAGGTGCTGGTACCAGTTTTTTTACCACGGCCGGTATGATTTGTACTCGGTTTATTGGTGGCGGTGGAGGCGGTGGCGGCGGGTGTCCACTGAACGGTGGCGATTTTGATACAACCGCATTGAATCCGTGCACTGGATCTGCCTTGTAGTCGACGGTGCGTATGGATCCGTCAGGTTCCACCAACGAATATTGACCCTTTACTACACCCCCGACTCTGGTCTCCTGTTGGCTTTTAACGTCGCCGGTGTGGAGATCAGTCACGCCATACTTGAATGCATAGCTTGGTGGAGACTGAAAAGAAAAACTTATTAAAGTTTAATCAATGTTAGAAGGTGCTGCGTTTCTAAATTAGTTTCTAGCGTAGCTCATTTTATGAAATATGGTGCTAATTGAGGATGAAACGAATTTCAAACATCTGCCTAAAACTGAAACTGAAAATTTTCACAAGTTCTGAAGAAATGGTACAGGAGTCCCATTACTAAGTAATTAAAATTTATTCATCTCTCTATCTCTATCAATCGGCGTGACACACCAATTAATTCCCGAGTCAGTTCGATCTTCTATGTGATAATAGAAATTTGGACAAAAGGATGTCCAAATCGCTTTTGTGCTCGTAATTTTTAGCCGATAAAAGTGGAGCACGGGTTTGTTCTGGATTCAAATTCGTCAACCATATCTTTCGAGATTCACTTTCAACGAGTATAAATGTATATTAATTGATTTTTTTAATTGTATCAAAATAGGGATCGAGCGTTTTTGGAGATGTATAACAAATTTGCACTTAAAGTCATTCTAACGTTCTTGAAGAGGTCGATTTACGGGACCAAACCAATTTGTATATTTTTTTATGAACGATAAGTGAACCCAAACCAAAGATATTGGTAGGTACAATTTTTTTATGCATTGTGGAATCGATTGGAATTTCATTAATACATTTTAAATGGACCTGGAGTTTTTGTAGTTAAAGGTCTACGATATGTGGTACAACAAAATAGAATATAAAACGTTTGTAAGGTGATAGGTTATTTTATTACACTCCTATATCTAAAAAATGTCATTCAAAAAAGGCTAGAGCCGTAAAAGGTAGGTAAACTTATAATAATATTCACGATAAGGCTATACATTTTTAAAACAAACGAGGTGTTAATCCTTATTTTTTATAGAATGGGGTTAATAACGATCTAGTAAACGTAAATAATTAAAGAATGCGATACATTAGACGCACCACAGAAGTTAACCCCTAGCAATTCATGATTTGTATCTAAAATCATCTTTACTCGAGGGTTATGCAATTTTAAAACAAAGAGGGGCGATCTTTGTATTTGTTAGTAGAATGTAATTGATAGTGGTGCTAGAGTAAGTTTAAATAATTAAAGAAAGCAAAGAAAGTGGCACACTATAGAAATTAACCCCTAGCAATGTTATATGTTATATACCACGAATATGAGCCTTGACTTATAGGAATTCTCACTCAGGACTATGGAGATCGATGCTACCACAGCTCAGAGGGTATTGTAAAATGTGGTTGCATTTCAAATAGATGCCTTAAGGGTGTAATTTTGGGTACCGAGTTGTCTGGTCCATACACTCGTAAAGTTGCCCGCGTTAAGTCATATGCCCACCCTGATGTGACGTCTCAAACGAACCTGGCTGCCAGAATTGAATGTTATAATTTGCTAATAGTCCAGTCGATATAATGAAAAATAGAGAGGTAGCTGCAAAGTATTCCAAAGTTAATGGAATTTTTACTGGTTGTTTGGGGGGTACACCAGGATGTCTGATGTCTATCCTAAGTATTCTAACTCGAGGACCGTGTGCTAACTTGGGAGAGAAACCAGAAACTCCAAAATGTTTGAACTTTTTTCATTTTATCGCGTATATTTTATAACCTAAAAATATCTCTTGACCCATAGTGCATTAAAAAGTTGCAGTGCATTAAATTTTCTAAAATTTGATTGCCCAAATGAATTTTTAGATCTAATATTAACCGAAATACAGTTGATCAAATTTAGAAAAGTACCTCGAAATGAAGAAAAATTGCCGAAGAACAAAGGAAGATCTTGGAACATCAATTACCCCATTCCACCTAACGTGGAAATGCCTCATTTTTATTTTTTAATTTAAGAAATGCATGTTAAGAAACCCTCTCGCACCAAAAACGTTGTAAACACGAAGCACTCATTTTATTTTTCCGTTTTGTGTAGAATGTAGTTTAATTAATTGGCCGTTTGTGTGAATGTTTCTCTCTTAGAAATATCTCTCTGAGTAAGACATTTTTGGGGAGACAGTGGCGTAACTACCATCGGGCAGTTCGGGGCAATGCCCCGAGGCCCCGCAATCTCGGGGGGTCCCGCAACCCGAAAGGTGCCAGCCACACGTAGAAAACGACGTGTAGTATACAAAATATAAAAACGTGTGCCATACCCATAATGCCTCATTTTAGTGTCTTAAAATTGCTAAGTCTCAAGCGATCGTTCAGTAAATTGAAAATCATAAACAATTATCTAAGATTTCAAATGGGTCAGAAAACATTGAACAATCTCGCACTTCTTTCAATTGAATCTAAGACCGCGTCAGAAATGCATTTGACCCAAGTAATCAACGAATTTGCAAATGCAAAGACTAGAAAGAGAGACTTTTAGATTTTCTATATAACTTTGGCTTGCCAAATATATGTAGACCTATGTAATTAATATTTCAAAAATTAAAAGTTTAGTATGTTCCGATTTTATATTTTACATTTAATAAGAAGCATGGGTTATAAAATGACTGTTTTAAGGTGATTTTATTTAAACGATTCTTATTAAAAACTTTAATTCGTGCCTAATAGTTATAGGGGGCCCCGAGGACCGTTTGCCCCGAAGCCCCGAGCTGTCTTGTTACGCCACTGGGGAGAGAGCGGTTGCAAATAAGCCATCGGGATTTCTAGTGTTCGTCTTACCTACTAAGGCAGTATTTAAGCCAGTATGGGGAATTAAAAAAAAAGAATAGAATTTTCCATTATATTAGATGAAAGTGCTCTATAGTAGACTCATTGTTTGATCAAGAGATGCAAATTTTACCCTAGGTCTGCCTGAACTTCATCTGCATTTCTGGAAAGAAACTGTACAAAACAATTTAGGAACAAGATGTTGCAATATACAATTTTTAGTTAGAAGGCTAAATGCTAATTTAAAGTTATGGGAAATAGATCTGGAATGAGTCAATATTACACAGCATTCGTGGGAACGTTCAATGCCTTCAGCTTCGCGATAGATAGATATTAATACGCAATCTTTTAAGAACGTTAGTCTCTGCTCTCGCCCTAAGACCCTCAATAATTTTTCTTAAATATAATAGGCACGTTTTTATACGTCATCAAAGCTCTTGTTTAAAGTCCTGTTGTAATGCTCACCTTCCTAAGGTAACGGTTACTTTATTATTATTTACAAATTATTCTATACCGAAATGCGTTATTCGTTTAAAAACAACACGAATAACTGCTTTCCGGGATAACTCCGCTGGTTTAATTAAATCAGCATTGCAAGAGCGATGTCGTAACTAGCTCATTGTCTATAATGAAAACTGAGATTAAGTGAAGCGAGAAAACGTAATACTACCCTCAGTTGGGAAGGTCTGGGTATCATTAAGGCGTTCGACCTAGTCTAAAATCGTGAATCTATTACAATTGTGAACTGAAGGTCTAATCTAAAGTAAATGATACTTAATTTAATTATGGGTAATCGACTTACATAATAATCTACAGCGTGTCCGGCATATCCTGGCCGCCCAAGAACAACTTGTACCATGCAGGCGAAGCTTACAGTCAATATCTACAAAGATCAAACAATTTCTCACACAACACGGATAATTAATAATTAATATTAATGTACAAGAAATAAAAGTGAATGAGAATTTTATTAAATTTCACTTTTCACCAGTCTTCCTCGATTCGATTAATATGAAATTCACAATTTACCTTAATTGTTAACATTTTTGCCAAGATGATGTACGTAACTACCGTAGTAATTTTGTCCTACTTGGGTTATATAAATGTTTCCCATTTAACAATGCCATATTGTGCCCCCTCTTTCTCATTACAGAACATACCATGAGGAAAAATTTTAAGAAACTTCTTCTTTTGCATAATCTGTCTATTTTATTATGTAAATTATCATAGGCAGACGATCTAATTGTTTCCAATTGTATAATTTTTCAACACTTACGTTTAACATAATTAGGGTATTTTGAACTATTATAAATGAATGCTGGCGTTCTATTGTACTAAATCAGTTAGATTTTATAATAAGTCTGAATCGCCACCAAAGTGCAGGATAATATCGAACTATAAACAAGAGCAAATTGTTTGAGTGTATATTTGGCATGCAAAAGGAGCTTTCGTAATATGCAGAAAAAATTCCCAAGGCAAGTTCTGAGATGCACAAGATTATAACAAATTCTAACGCAATTGACATCTTCACTGTTATTATGAGAGAGTTTTCTTTGTTTTACTTTTTACGACACCTGATGCAATGACTATTTCTAGTGTATTTCTTAAAGGGGTGGTGTGTTCATATGCTATCATCGTTCCTCTACCAGTTTGGATATTCTAATGGGATTTTCGTTACCTATCTACGAGCTTATGCAGAGAACCAACCAATAATTTTTGTATCTTATCTATATGTTATACCCCATAAGTGTTTGAAAAACTTTACCCGGAAAATTCGGCTGGGCAAATTAGTCTCCGAATGCATAGTTATGTTGAATATTGTCTTTTAGAAGAACTCGTTCCCACGTAAAATAGTTTCGTCCCCAGACGTTAGCGCTCAGAAAACGCACTGCAGGAAAATTCTCCCTCAGAATTTTTCGCTTACCTGTAGCATTCATTCGTTCCCAATCGCAAAATACTTCCGAAAATGCGGAAATGGGGTAAATAATGATACACAAAAACTTAATTTGGGTAGATCGATGACAAGAAAAATTGGGAACGTTGTGCTGAGATAAAGCGGCAAATTAAAATATCCCATCAAGATCCAAATCGATACGTTACATGAATTACACCTGAATCAATAAATACTGTCAAATGTAGGTAGTGTATCGTCTGCTTTACTAACGATCCTCGAGATCGTTTATAATTTTGTATTGCTGTCTGTCAGTCTGTCCGTCTGTCTGCTCGTCTGTCTTTCCGTGTGCACGATAACTTTGTGTAGAAACGTCCGAAAAAAATTGATACACATGTTCTTCAGGATATATGAAAAGTCGTTATTGTTTTTCGGCTACGTAGACAAACGAGCCAAAAAGTTACAGCCCAAAAACTGTCCAAACCCCAAAAAAAAAAGGGTTTCTTTTATAACTCTTGTTACAAAGAACATATGAATGTCCGGTTTTCTGTGTTAGTAAATATTCCTTAAACTTCAGGCAACTATGCAGATGCAAAAAGCATTGCGCATGCACATTACAACTGTTATATTTGCGCAACCCTACTTTTTTGGAACTAGTTTTATCCTTCATGGTACTCTAATGAAAGGTCTCAACGAAAGGAATTAATTTCTACCAACCATAACCGTCCTCTTCGATCTCTTATCGTGATCGGGTATATTCCCTTATACCTCAAGAACGGATTGTCGGAAGAGGGTACTCACAAAGGGCGATTGAGACGTTTGCAAGAAATATATCCATTGATGTCAAAATAAAAGCTATTTCGGTTAAAAAAAATGCGCTTCATCTGCACAAGAGTTGTGCACAATGTATACTTGTTTATGATGCAAACGGTATAGGTTACCATTTAAGGCACTAAACAATTCCATACCATTTTCTTAACTGAAAAAACGATATAAACCATTGTTCAAAAAAACGTAAACTCAATTTATTAAGTACGTATGGGATGTAAATTAACAGTTCTTTATCTTGAACGGGCCAATTACGATTGGTTGCGTCACACCTGGACATGCAGATAATACGACCCAAGTTTGTAAATATTTACGGAAAGGTAGAACGACGAGGGACATTAGTAAATTATTCCAGTAAATAAATCAAATTTCAACTAATAAAATGCGAGAAACCTGAAGGACGGTTAGTAACCAAATTTTTACCTGGCGATTGTATTATACAAGGCGTTCCACCATCAAAATTTCCAAATTGCTGCTACCTTTCCGAAGGAGAAAATCAACTGTCGGCTGTAGAAAATTTGGACTCATCGATAAGTGTTAGTTATTTTGAATGTTTTACATATTATGTAACCAGGATGTTTTTTTGGTATTTTGTATAAAACATTTATGTTTAAAGTCACTCTAACATTCCAGAAAAGGAATTTATCCTGTGAACAAATTTAGGATAAGTGAACCTAAACCAAAGATATTGGTAATTTTTTTCTTATTAATTGTTGAATTTTAGGTTCAGTAATACCATTCTTTTGACATCAAGAATAGGTTTGAATAGAATTTTGTACCAGGTGTTTGATTAATTACGAATATTAAAAAATCTACGTAATTAATTAGATTGGAGACCTGATCGCGATATAGGAATTTATACATAACTTTATCTTGTATATTTGGTACATTTGGATCGATATATTGTTTTCAACAATATCATATTCAAACAAATCATGAGTGCTTATCAAATCAAAGCATCATCCGGTTTTAGTATTTAGATTATAAGTGCTGAAAAAGAGCCAACCCTCCGCAACCTAAGTCATTAAAAATTTATTCATTATTGAGTTGGCCGTGGTATCAATTATATATAAATATCAATGAATTGTTACAGTAACATTTTTACCAGTGTCGTTGAGAATAAAGGGTTTCTAATCCCTGTAAATGTAACTGAGCCGTTACAGTAGTAGGTACCTTCTAATTCAAAAAGCTGTGATCGCTGTTAAATTTTTACCTCGATTTTTACAGGTTCTATCGCCAACTACGTAAAGACATATTTAGTAGAGAAACTATTTCCCCTATGGGTTGACTCTTTTTCTCTTATAAGAAATGAACCAATGGTGGATATACAGATGTAGGTGTATTACATTTTTCTTCTGATGGCTCTTAGGATGATGGTCTCATATCTAATGGCTATACCTAACTGATATTGTCACAGATGTAATTGCAAACGTGTTTTTATTTGCTATGATTATTCAATAAATTACTAATTGTAGAAATAAAACTCTTAGTTACTAAACAAAATTAACAGATAAACAATGGAAAACAATTTTAATTGTAGGATTGTAGGTGTTGCTCCTGTTCTGGCTGCTTGTGTGCGTTCGTCTTGTGAACGACAGCATTAAAACCATTATGCTTATCAGCCGTGTAATCCACCGTACGAATTGAACCATCAGGCTCCACAACGGAATACTGCCCTTTCACCACATCCCCGTCTCTGGTCTCGTGTTGACTTTTAATATCTCCAGTATGGTAATCGTTGACACCATACTTATATGTGTATTTGGGGTACGCCTATAAAAGAAATGCAACGAATTAGGTAATAACAACGACAAAATTTTAACATAAGCATAATAATGTAAATTGCTTTACTGTATCTGGACGGAAGAATTGCGCAAAAGAAGTCGAAACAATGTAGACATTATTCAATTAAGAGTAACAAAAAGTGACCTTTAACTGACTTATACCTACAACGTACACTGCTACCTTGAATAATTTAATATTTATATGTAAATTGCGCGGTGGATATTAAGAGTGATCTTGTTTCGTGGCATAAATTTCGGTGTTATAACAATGACTAATTAATCATATTTCATCAAAGATAATTAAACATAGACATGGGTTTACTTAGGCACGTAGTTATAAAGTTATTCCGGAACCTAATATTGTGGTTTGAGACTGTAACAGTATGGGGGCGAGAAGCCACGTAGTTCTTTGACTCTCAAAGGCAGAATGTTTCCAAAGATAGTTTAGTTGCAAACGTTTGGAATATGTTGGAAACCAAACATTCAAATTGCAGCCCAAAATCCGGAGGAAGCTATTTTCACCATTTAAATAGGACCTACCGGGACCTACCTTTTTATTTATAATGAAACATGCAGTTTGTATGCGATACAACAGGATGAATGTATTGATGGGTCTGCACATCTGATGCATTATTGAGCTATTCGTATTAATGTAATATTTTGGAATTTTTCTCATTGAATGTATATGACATGGGAAAAGGGTATTTTCTGAAGAATCTAGCGATATACCCTAGGATATACCACTGATATAGTTATTTTTTGAAGTGCTAAGATTATATCCCTTTCTACAAGACTGTGATCTTGCGAAGGAAACGTATCTTTGGCTATTTAGTAAAATATTCAAAGTATAACATTGAATCAAGGTGTGCCTAGGCAAGAAGTCACCCGAAAAAAAGATGGCACTTTTCGCAGTAATTTGTGGGAGGACCTCCTTAAACCGAACACGAAACATAGCTATTTTTACATATACTCACCGGCACAAAAATCGAGTGAGAGGATTTGCTTTCAAAAATTACAAAGATGACACTCATTCGAGCAAGGTGGTAGTTGGGGTAACACCCGTTATTAAAAATGGGGTCTCCCTATTTTGTATATCGCAAGCACAAAATTTTAGAACTCGTTTAACACTAGGAATTTTTTATGGGGCGGGCGATTCTACTTGGATCCAAATGTGTTTTCGCCAGGTAAATCTTCTATCAATATAGCCCAAGATATTTCGCTTCTTCTTTTTAAGACAGTTGGTGATTATTTAGTTGGACAGGAGGGCATGCTTCCCTTCTTGTGGTAAACGTCGCATGGATAGACTTTGTTTCGTTAGTTTTTAGTCTCCATTTCTTTTGCTATAGGTTTTTCAATAGTTGGGAAGCAATGGCTGAGTCGTTATCAGAAGCTAGTACTGTTGTGTCATCTGCAATGAATTGAGGGGGCGGCGGACTTTATTTCTTCACTGTATAAAAAAGTCCATCCGTATACCTGTCTGGTCGTTATTTGAATAAATATTGAGGTACCTACATTTTCATGGTTGTAAGAGGCAAACTATCAAAGAGGTTAAAAATGGTGAAATGGGGTTAAAATCAACATTCTTTGGAAGGTTCGGTATTAAAACGACTGAAATATTTATACAGTGCGTAATAATTAAAAAAAAATGCACATTATTGACACTGATCCTGTTTCATTTTGGAGAGAATGTATGTGGGTCATATATCATACCATATTTTTCTATCATATTAATAATATTCACCGTTAGTTTAAAACTTCAATTGCGCATAGCTCGTAATTCGCGCATAAAAATTAATTTGAAATAAGTAAAGGAAAAATATAGACCTGGCTTTCTCAAGGACTCTTTCTATTTGACCTTTTACAAGTGACATCAAACAAATTATTTTTCTTTCAAAATTGGACTTTAACATTGAAAATGTTGTAGCTGATTACAGGAGTACAAAAAATAGCGTATATACCACAGGACTAAGGTGCGCCCTAATCCCTCGGATTCTTGTTGCCCCCAACTATGTTTCAGGCAACAATTTGTACCCTCGAAATTAAAACACACATTTTATCCCTTGGTATATAATATATTATTAATTTCAGCGTTGAAACCGCTGAAAATTTAAATGGCATTTTACACTAAGGTACTTTATGCCGATTCTTTTTTTAAATTAGATTGTTTGATTTCTAAAATACCAAACGTACATCAAGAATATTGTTCTACATTCAGGGAAAGGAAGGTTTTTTCATCGCCTATTTTGCCATTTAAAGTTATGGAAGTTGAACCATTACGTATAAGGGATGAAAAAACTGTTGAGTGGGTTTTATCTACCCCTTGAGGACAGAAACGACGTTTTTCTAAAAAAATAAAAGTTTTCTATCAACTTTTATCTCCTATACTTAGTCCTTCTATTTGTATTCTTTTCATTTTTGCTAGAAGTGCATTGTGTGTCAAACCTTCTTATGCTGCTGAGTATCCTAGTTAAGTGTTTGGAGGTTCTGTTGGCCTCTTTTCTTTGAGCGAAAGATGAACTTGTGTTAAATCTACTGTAACAAGGTTACCACACATAAAGAATCTTATTATTCAATGGTTTAAAATATAAATAAAATCTCACGTCCGTGATCACTACTTATATATGTACAGTGTGTAAAGAGATGGGGTATACAAGAGGGATTTTTTTTAAATACTGATTTATGAAAAAAATTTCCCGATTGTAATGGACATTACGGAAAATAAATTACTACATTTTTGCATACAGGTGACAGGTCACAATCAAATCCCTTGAATGATACTCCTTGCTAATATTAAGAGACACCATGAAAACACGCAGAAGTAAGGGTGGCTGCCTATGCATGCTTGTGCTATAAACGTTTAAGTTTATAAATTAACATAAATAAAAATTTCCAAACCACTTTCACACACATGAAAGTAATCGTGAAGTGCGCGAGTGAAACCGAGATCGTAGAACTTCTCTCATCATTATGGAAATGTACCCGCATATTGCATGAAGCGCATGCATCATTCCTCTTTCAGGATTACCTATCTATACGTCCAAAAATTACTGTACGTAATTCAAATAAGGAAATGCACACGACATCCGACCATAAAAATCAGACTGTACTCACGTAATAATCATAATGCCCATCCTCCTTCTCGTTATGCTCCTCTTCCTCTTGCACTTGCAAGTGCCCTTGCTCGCCCAGGTTTTGAATGCCCGCGCCGTGATCATCGACCGCCTCCTGCTGAATTATATGCGGTATAATAGCGCCTAGGTTCGCCTGGTAATGTTGAAAACCGATGTGCCCCGCGTAACTGTACGCAAACAGTGCGACGACCAGAAGGACCTAGAGCAAAAATACCGCAAGGTAAAATAAGATCGAAGACGACCGCACGAAATATTCACCCTCATTATCACGACGCTCAAATGCACCACAGTCTTCAGTTCACCGCAAGCAATTGTTAATTAATAAAGTAAGAGAAATTGGAGATGCTTTATATACACTTTCTTGCTGATTCTAAGAGGTGCAAATGCTAGAATAATACCATGTGAGCGAGATGAAATTAGGTTAGCGAAGATACTCAAACATGTAATTAGCAAGGCCGTAAATTGTGGGCTGCTTTGAATATAGTTTTCGTGCAAAGGACCGATAATAAATTAGAGCTTATGACATCTTTCTTCCATTGTTTCCTCTCGGATTTTTACTCAAGATACTAGAAAGAAATTGTCAAAACTTTCACCATCTACTGATGATTTTAATGTATGTATGAGACGTTATCGTTTTAAAAAGATTCGTGTACTTGACCAGAAACGGTGGCAAAAGTGTATTAGGTACCTTGTCTTAAATAAACGAAGAATCTAGCGAAGAATTATAAACTTACCAACCGGTTCGCAATATAATTTTTCGAACGTTTTCGCAATTATTCTCTTTTTCTGCAGGTTCCTCTCCTTCTACTGTTTCTATAGAATGATCAAACGGTGCGCAAAAGAACAACTCGAATGCTGAAGACTTCCCAAGGCCTGAAATGGTTTGATAATATATGGACCTTGGTTGGATACAACCATTCCGATAACATCACAGCCGAACGTGTTTTTACCAATTCGTTTCAGCGAAACGGTTCAATTTTCATTCACAATAATCTCGTCACTTTATATGAATAGTGGTTCTTCTCAAAAACGACAAAATAAAGAAGGTTCGCGTTACGCCATGGTAAAACATAGGAAGGATTACCAAAAACGTCCCCTCTATTATCCAATGGTAAACATTTTAAACGCGGTATTAGATGGCATGGCTCCCTTTTTCCGCGAAGAAAAGATATAGTCATTTTCCACCGCAATATTACCGCCCTTGAATCCAAGACTAATAATGGATGCGAACTCCTTCCACATCCGTCACAATCTGTTACAAAGACTGCTCTTGCAAACTACTGCGTTAATCAATGACGCTAATTGGCAAAAACTTTTTACTTTTAAATTATTATCACACAAAACCTAAAATTTGGGTGTTTTTCTTTACTTTTTTCTAGGATCATCCTCACCCACTTTTTGTCTCATCGCTACTTCTCCTTTTTTCTTAGTTCGTTTACATGTGCATTTTCCCCATTATTTAATTGCAATTTCTACCCCAAATATTTCACTTCTATCCCTTCTTCTACTCTTTTCTCCCTCCATTTCCATTCCATCTCCCTTTTCCTTCCCCCCCCCCTTCATAATAAATAAAATAAATAAATAAATATCTCTCCATTGTTCCCATCATTTCATTCAAATGTTCTACCGCTTTTTCCAATATTATTGTGTCGTCCGCGTATATGCAAGGTACAAATATCTTCCTTCTTCCCACTATGATCCCTCGATTTTATGTACATGTCTGAATATTTGTTCTCTCTCATATAGAAATTAAATGAGGTTGAAAATTCCTGTCTTGGTCCTTTACATATATCCAGAACACTTTACACTCCTTCCCTTTTATTCTTATTCTTATTCTTGTTTCTCCATATAATTGCATAATTCTGTCCTATAACTTCTTGCCTATCTACCTTTATAAATCGACACTATTATACCCATTGCTTCGATTCTTCAAGTAGTCCCTCACCTTTCAATATCTTGTTAGATTCCTCATCTTTCTCTTGATACTATCTGCGGTGAAAATCCAAGCCTCATTTCATTATATTATGCCCAATTGATTTGGGGTATAATCTGAAATTACCTATACCTATAGAATTTTGCACATAATCACACATATACTTCTGTGTTTTAAAAATATAGATTTGCGTATTGTGGGATTGCATGTCGAAAGTGTAGAGTGGTCAAAAAGTGCAAACTAATATAAGTAGTGCACTTTCCTTTCGGACAAAAAACGTATATTTCCGCGCATTTTATATAGGTATTAGAAGTCGTTCTGTGTATTTATATCCATAATTATACACAGAGTTGTATACAACACGTTTTGTATGCAACGGTAGCTTATTTTCTATACAAGACTTGTGTATAATTGTTCGTATCACTTTGCCTACGACATACTAGGTAGGTACTCTTTTACTATACAAATTTTGTGCTGGCTTATTTAAGTAACGTGATGAACAGCACAACGAATAAACCAATACACACACAGATACATGACAATTAAATTTTTTTTTATTATACCTGAATCACAATCTCCGTTTTAAACACTCAAATGCGTGCGAAAAAGGGCCTTTTTCGTCGACCTCTCGATAACAGCATAAATTACACCTTAGTTACGGGTGGACATTTAATAAAAATTTGTCCACGTGTGTTGCATGGATATAATGCTGCCCGGAACAATTAATGCCCCATTTTCCGAGATCCACTGTACCTAATTTTTTTAAAAGCCCTAGTATCCAAAATATTGTTAAATGTGTCTTTTACATTATAACGATCCTCAGAGTAATAAAAACAACCATTACCTAACTAACTTTTAGCCAGTGAAGAAAGTTATAACCATTATTTAAACAATGCTATAACCAAACACCACACACTCACCTCTGGTTTTATGCATTTTTTACAATGAATGAAATTTAGACATTTTGTTATGTAACACCTATGTTTAGTAGAATTATTGTCCATGAAGCTTTTAATAAAAGGTTTTCATTAACGGGTTTTTCCTGTTTATTACCGGAAGGCCATTCATACACATTAAATTAAAGTATAAAAAGTTCCTTTTTTCAGGAATGAGTAATATGATCTAAAGTAGTGCACAATGTTCTCGACGACCTGGAAAATTTATTGTTTTTTATGTAATTGGGTTCAAATTCAAAAATTAAACATTTATAATTTTGTTGTGGCTTATTTAACCATTCAAGTATTTTCGACAATAAACCCCGTGTAAAACATAGCATTCACTGATATTCTTTATCACCTGTAAGTATCTCTGCTGCTGCTCTGTGAGCAAGTGATTTTGGAAAATGTATTCCTTTCTTTACTAAGATAGTATTGTACTTTCTTTTTAGCGCATTTTCCAACTCATGTTGGAAGGCGGTATTATGGTCACTTGTTCCGACCGCCCGTCCATCCCTCCGTCCGTCTGAGGCCGTAGTTTCTCCTACATTTTTCAATATATTTAGTTCGTTTTTTTAAATTCTGTAACTTATAGTTCTGGCATCTGAGCCAAGAAAATTTCAACTTTCTTTCTTATTAATATATTTTGTTGAAATTGTAACCACAAACCACAGACGTTTCCAGTAAAGGCAAGCATATCGCATCAAGTAGAAACCAAATGTGCGCATGCACAGACTTTCATATTTATGGAGATATTTCTTTGAAATTTTAGTCACAGATTTCTATATAGCTATGGAAAGTACTGCAATTGGAAAGGTAAGGTAAGGAAAACTACTGCCATTCTGTACGAATACGATCGAAAAAAGATACCTGCATTTCTTGGTATAGAAACCCATAAAAGGCACCATCCTATCCTACATGACTAAAAAAAGTAGATATATCACCCTGGGAAATTAGTGGTGGAACTCTAGCGTTTTTTCACTTAAAAACCTTTTTATAAATATTAGAATTTGGGACATTTGCTTGGAAAATTTGTTATTACCAAATTCATATTTGTGATATTCGCATTCTTAAGACGTTCTAAAAGTTTTACTAAATATTAGAATATCATTAACATGCATGGCTGTCCCATCCGTCCTAAAACTGTCTATTCCCAAACGTGTACCTAAGTACACGGAACGTAGGTTTCTAATTTTTATTTTCGACTTGCCATGGCTTAATTAAGCAAATAATTTAGCTGATTAAATGAACGTTTAATGGATGATATCTTCCATTCATGCTCTAATACTCAAATAATTCTCAACCGTTCATGTATACACACAGTAAAGTAGTCAATACAGTTTTGTTTACATATATAGAAAGTATAATTTACATAATTATAGTCCAGAAACTTCGCAAAAAAAGATCATACGTCCTACTGTTCCTTGTGAATAATTACGTCGATTGCCAATCGTTTTTTACCATAATTGGTCATATTTAAAATTTGCAGTTGGTGTAAAATTAAACCTTTGCCCTCTTGGTAGAGTTTGATATAGTTGTCGTTTATTGGCGAAATAGGACCGTAGTACTTGATTCTTATCGATTTACAAATGGTCGATATGGCCAAGGTACATTTGGACTGTGTGAGAATGTTGGAGCAAATCCAAAAGATTATCTTGTCGAACGGTGCTAGGCCAACATCTGAGTCATCATCATCGTCGTTACCTCGGGTCAGCTTGTTATTCATAATGTTGCTTGCCATAAGAAGCATGGTTGGATTTAACGCACTCCTGTGGAAGGATCTTTAGTTAACATTAGCATGTAAAAGACTTACTCGTCGTGATCTGCAGCCTTTTCAAGTTTCTGAGGTAGCGTGATTAAGACAATGCAGGTAGGGTGGTTGATTTCTAGTGTATAGGGGTTTAATTCTAATTCATTGCGCGCACCCAACGTTGTGCTTAGTATGGGTACGTGCTTGTGTTCATACTTAAAGTGGGAGTGGACGGATGACACCGCAATGGTCCTGTGACAGCGAACACATGGACAATGAACTGGTCTAAAAGTGCTCTAAGAGATTATCGGTTATTTTGCGATGCTCACTTTTTGGATAGGGTCATTAGAGACCCTCGAAATTGGATATCCCGATATGGAGGTTTGGGAGTGCACGATTTCTTATTAACGATCAAATCGGCGAACATCTTTTTCCCGCTACCCGCACCTTCGATAGATTTCATCAGATTGGTACACACGCCCATTTGGCTTTTGGATCGAGAAAGCAACATCAGCTTATCTTGCTGTTCGGAATAAAGCTTTGGGTAAACGTGTGCGCTCCTACCTTGACTGCTGCATCGAGAGCAATACCATTTTTCCGTGTCATATTGAGCGCTTTGTGGTCGTATACACTTATTATTACAATTTTCACATCTCAAAAAATCTCCAGAGTTTTTAAAAGAACTAGAAGCCATATTTTAACACAAGGAGTTACAATACTAATTTAGGTTGACATCTTTCAAACGAAATGTCATAAAAAAATCGGTACCGATATTTGACGTTGAAGTAAAACAGTTCAATGTTGGTTGAGGGGACGCTGACGTGTATGAAACAGTTACCAGATTCTTTGGCGAAATTTATATAAATCTGGAGATTCACTTACAACTTGATTCGATCTCCAAAGGAATGGCACCGAGAGCATAGTGGAATGTTTTGATTTGTTGAAAACGTTTAATATTAACAAGTGGGTGGTATAAATTAAAGTTCATTGTTAATTGTTTATAACTGGTTAGTAGTGTTACAGTTAAATTTATATGATGCTTATTGTTGATGCCTATTACCTATTATTTATGACCGAAAAGTGTTTCTATCTAATCTATGATGGACGGGTAGGCAGAATATGACTGTCGCATTTTGGCCTAAATGTGGTTCTCTCAGACGTTTAATTAAATGCTCATTCTGATTATGCAAATCGTGCTACCGTTAAACGAAACGAAAGTGTTAAATAGTGTACGAATGCATGACGAATAAATTACACTATTACCCAACATAATAAATATTTACCATCCTTTCATATGAACGATCAAGCGTTTTACTATTGCTTCTATTTACCTGCACTTTAAACTTATTTTCAATGAATTTTTTTTCCCGTGAAAGTTTTTATAGGCATTACTATTTTACACACGTTGGTGATGATCAAACAGCAGTTACTTCCCCTATGAAAGGATTTCCGCTCTTTTCAGGAACCAAAGTAGAAAACCACACATATTTATTCTACCGTCATTAAAATCGGTAATTAAATTACATTAGCATGTCTATCAAAGCGTTTTCTTTTTGGCACTTATAAGTTTCTCCTTCTCCTGATCGTACGGTCTTAACCTCTGCTCGAAGATGGTCTGTTTTTTGTACACCTCCCTTGTTCGTAAAGCAGACTCCATTTCTGGAGATAAATTCTGTCTTTTATCGCCGCTATTCTCTATCCTCGCCCTATAATCAGCACGTTACCACCGACATTTCGTGTGAGTGCGTCTAACTTACCTGTAGCCTTTCCCATCAGCGACATAATGGACGACCTGTATGTTACCATCGGGTTGTAAATGTCCGTAGCTTCCTGTAACGCTTCCGTTTTCATGGCGCTGTTCGTTTCTAAATTGAACATTATTTGTTTTCGGGTCTTCGATTTCGTACCCAAATTTGTATGTGCGTTTTTCGTTGTCCTGATGTTGGTACTGAGACCACTCAACCATGTTCGAAAGGCATACATCTATTATTGTCGAGCATACTACGATTACTACTATAGAGACACTCTGAAACAAGTATCTGGTTTTAATTTCTTGAAATTTAACATATTTTTATATAACAATCTCAGATTCAGCTAAATATAATGCAATTGTTGTTTCATTATATCTTCCACATAAAAACTAGCTTTCGACTTTGCCATTTCGCAGAAGAAAAGGGCCAATTCGCGACGATACATTTCTAAACCACAGATCTGAATTTTTTAATGTTTCAATAATATTTTCCATAATAGGTACTAAAGAAAGCAAACGAAATTTTTAAGTATTAGCTATTGAACATTGTTCCATTCTGGAACTTGAAATCAGGAATTCCAAAACTTCACGAGAAATTAGGACATTAAAGGAATTGACTCTAAATTCCAGAATTTGCACTTGTTTAATTTAACTCCGAATGCGACTCTTATTTCTTAAAAATACTTTGCAGTTTTCTTCCAATGGAAAATGAATTAATTGTGGGGCCCATACAACAATAACTAGTAGTGCAACCTTACGACTTGATAAATTGGTTAAATTTATAAAAAAAATTGATGTCAACAGTCGGGACTAATAGAAATAAATTACCAGGTATCGAAGCAAATGATGTCTTTCCAGCCGGATAAAAACCGAACGATGATATTACTCTTCATCAGTCTTCACCATTAATCACATTAGTAGCAAGAATAATGAAAGCCATTACTATAGTATTCCTCCACGGGGTACGACTGTATGCATGAATGCCACTCATTCAAGTAATTTTTTCTGCATCATTACCATAAATTGGCAAGCTCTAGCAGCATGCGGTCGCACGTAACGTAAGTATGTGGATTTTTGAAAAGATTATTCCGATGTACTTAATGTATTCCACACTTGTATTACCTAATTAGCATTCTTAACGCAGTCTCGCCCCCGTTTGGTTTGTTTGAAATGTGTCGAAGAAGCGATTGAATTTTTTTTCATAGCTGCAGATACAACGCGTTTCGGTCAAAAAACGAAATTCTCTACATGTTCGTGGAAAACTGCGAGCATAATTTTGTACGAGATATTATTACCTGCACCCTGAGATGCAACTCACCTGTAATGCAGCCATGACGAGCACGCACTTATAAGCCAACGGACGCACAACTAAAACAATTATAAAAGAAGTAAAGGTAAAGGATCTGATGATGAACACCGACTGTTTGGACGATGAAACTGGATTGCCTTAAGCGCAAAATTGCGAATATGTAGATAAGAACAGGATTTCATCCGTATTGCTAATTTGCACCGCTGAAGCCTAGCTAAAAGACTGTAATCTGTCGTCACGCATCATTTATGGTTTACTTAATTTTTATTAAATGGCTATAATCGAGAAAATATATACTCGTAAGTTCTTTATTGTTTGCCGACATACGAGTTGTCAGAGGAGATGTGAAGAAAAATTCGATTAAAGGGCAGTTTTTCATATATCCAAATCATAATGAAACATTCATGTAATAAATAATCGATTTTATAATCAACAAGTGCCAACTGTGCAATTATTTCTGTTTTAGTTTTAATGTTTTCAATAACGTAGTTTGATACTAGAAGAATTAACATTATAGTACTTATTTGTTTTCACATTAGAACAGAAAATTTCATTTTTTTAGTTTAAAATTTAAAAGGATACAATCTTTGGAAACTAAATAAGTGCAAGAATTTTACTTTCATACTCCATTCACTTTGTCACTTACTCTTATTTTATGAACAGATCACAAGAATCACCCACACTAATAAGTACCTACATTACATATGTTCATACTTTTTAAAGAGGATATAACCAGTATTAAATATTCGGTACACTACAGCAGTTAACAAGTATCAATTCATTACTTATTTACGTACCTTAAGGCTGTGCCATTTTTAAACAAAGAACCGTTATTTTTATTTATTTCCATATAATGGGGTTGACAATCGTGCCAGTATAAGCATAAATAATTAAACGGAGCATAATCATGGTCGAAACAGATAGAGGGCACCTCACAAATTCAAAAAAGGGACTTTGAAGGCTTTGTCGTTAAAACAAATAAGAAATAACGGTAGAGTAGATTGCCTATTCTATTTGCTGTACAACTCTGTGTAACGGGAGCTCTTTAGCATCTTTTATTTTTTCAGTAATTTCAGTAAGGCGAAGGCTAGGATATCATAAATTTTTTCTTTGTATTCTAATGACGCAATATCACTGTCAGTTGTCAATTGGTACGAGATTAGCTCAGGTTCATTAGAAACTAGTACAATACAGCTGAATCACATCCTGTTATTGATAAGAAAACCGCCAACTTTTTGCAGCGGTGTAGGAGGGAATAGTGAGATCTAAAAGAGAAAAAGTTCGTTAATGTACCATGAGCGGTGGTAAAAATCAGTGCCAGTTATTAAGAAAGCTAAGATCTAGATTTGTTTTGGGGGTCACAGGAGAGTCACTGCATGGTTTTTTGAGTGGGTGAATAAATTAACAAAATCGGGGCGAAGGACCTAAGGGATTACGCGTGGTAAAGCTTTCATCCAGTATCGGTGTCTTAACGTGAAACGATTGCTGTGGCAGAAAAATTAAATGAGAAAACATCGTGATACAAAAGTGGTTGCGATTCATAAACCAGGTCGATTAACGCTACGTAAATCGAGTCCATATAAAAGTAATTTCCTCTCTATTCAAATTGGAAAATTAAATTTCAAAAATTTGTGATTCGAGACCATAAACAATTCACGAGACCAACCACCTACCGCATTAAATAATTTTTTTATTATACCTGAATCACAATCTCCGTTTTAAACACTCAAATGCGTGCGAAAAAGGGCCTTTAAAACACACGTGCTTTAAAGTTGCTAAGTAACGATACTTCAAATATGACTTTTGAAACTGTCATCTGGATGAAATAAAAAATCCTCTTAGGTCGCTTTCTGTAAATGCAGAACATTTCTTTTGCTTTTGTACCTATCCTTTGGTTGAAGCTTTCACAAACGCGCGTAATTTAGGGTATGCTTCCAAATCTGTTCCACTTTTTAATCGCAGCACTGCTTTAAAGTTTTGAATGAATGCACCAAAATATAGAAGATTTAAATACCTTTGACATTGCCTTCATATATGCCAGCATTATGGATGCATTTAAGACTGTATTCGTAAGTAACTTCCTATTCATCCATGGAAACAACTTTTCATATTCTTTATAATAGGCTTTACTGGATTTGGATTTTACACCTACCAATGTTTGTTTAGATTTTACAACAATCGATTTAATGGACAGTGTATTATCTTTTTCAACGGAAATCGTTTAATTCACCAAGACGATGATTTTTATAAGCAAACGTCAAGTGACATTTCCATGGCAATCGTGAAATTACGAACACCCAGCCCACTTAATTAGACATGTTTTCGAGTATAACGTCAATATGATTTCATTGTATTTCCTATTTTTAAATTATACTGCAGGTATAATAAAAAATACTATAAGATACACGTGTATAATTGGTCTTTAAAACACTTGCAACGTTAAAGGCACTCCGCTTTGCGTCGTGCCCTTAAACTCGTTGCGCGTGCTTTAAAGACTTGATTATACACTTGTATCTTAATATACTATTAATCATTTACGCAATCGCTATTTTGATTAACCTTACGGACCTTAATACGAAACTTTCAATACAAGATATCTAAGTAAACATTTGGTAATTATTTCGTTCTCTATTTTGTTCTGTACATATAATGATAATCCCTGCACAACGTTTCGGGTAAATTTGTGCTATATATACAAAACATTATTTTGGTAAACCATTGGCAACAATGAAAAATAAATACTATTACAGGACCGCTTTCGAGATCAGTGATGATAAACTTCGTGCGCTACTGGTATATGCGTTTGAGGATGATGAGCATGTCCAGTCTTATGCACAATTGCATTGAAACCACTGTGACCGTCGTCAAAGTACTCGACTTTCCTTATGGTTCCGTCGGGTTCTACAAGCGAATATTCCCCTTTTACTGTATCGCCGTCTCTAACTTCCGATTGCTCCTTTATGTCACCGGTGTGTCCATCTTTAACGCCATAATTAAATTTGTACTTTGGATATGCCTTAAAACACATCAAATTCACTAATGGTACCTGCACTTTGCAACAATTAACTTACCACTGGCTCAGCATGGACCGGAACAGCGTGAACTGGTGCGTAAACTCCATGATAATCGACAGGCACAGCTCTAGTTACTGACACTACAACAGCAAGCGCAAGGAGTACAACCTAAAATCACAGGGTGAACAATAAGACGCTTTCAGGCACTGTACCTTCATTTCGTCGAATTGCAGGAAATGAAGCACTAACTTCTTCGATGACTCTAAACTAGGTATTTATAGCAAAAAATGGGGATGCTGTCCCACCATGTTGCATTACCAATACCTACTATTATTACCCGATTTGCATTCGCAATAGTCTCCCAGTTGAGAAAATCATGCCTAATTAGAAGAAAAAAATGCAACCGACTTACATTTCGTCGAGAAAAAATGGACATATCGCCCATTTCCTTGAACGCGCATCTCCAAATACGTGTTCAGGTGATCTAGTTAACTGTGAAAGTGTACGCGAAGCTGAATTACGTGACACAATTATATTTACCTGTATTGTATAATTTTATACCATGATATACTAACGATTTGGTAATACTATTAATGGTTTTGTTATATCACAGCATCGAATTCGTTCTTTATTGTGCAAGTATTGATCCTTTATAGATGAGAAAGTTTGTTTTAGGGCTGCAGTTCTAATAAAAATCTACATTTCTTGGCAAAATTTTAATTTTTGGTGGGTAATTACATATACTCAGGTATACAAACTTCCTCCGCAATCGTATTGAATTGTTGTTGCCTGAGCCTAGTGGCTATATAAAAGGGCGCAGACATTGGTGTTAGATTTGACTTTAATGGACGATAATATTAATAGGTTTTAGTTGATTAATATGTATCTCCCCTCCATACAGCTTACAGTACTATAATCGCTATCCCAAATATAAGAATGTGGATCACCCCTTCGCTATCCCTACGTTCATTTATCGACAGTCAAAACGTTATCTCCATCTCCATGGTTAAAAGCATCCAGCAGGAATATTTCTGAAACGTCAACGACAATAACCTTTTCAAAAGACGCCCTGGCAACAAAATATGCGAATCCAATACCATATAACCCCTTTCGTAACCATCCCTAAAAATTGAAATAAACTGTACGGCGAATGGTTCTTGAAATGGGCTATCATAGTTCACTTCACAAAATTATACGTTTAGATACGACTTTATGAAGGGTGAAGTGTTGGGTTCGCAACTAATAGAAGTGGGTTCGAAGATGCAGTGGAAAGATAAGGATTATATAGTATGGTATGGCAACAATGTTTTCATGTCCCCCTTTTTCCCATACCCCCTTAAAAAAAGCAATCAGATGATGGGTCGAAAAGGATTACGGTTTGTACAGTCCGAGCGGGCAGGAATGCTGACTGACACATAGATGAACAAGCAGACAGACAGTGCAACGGGTTTGCGTATTTAACTGACCCATAGCTAGCCCTTTTCTTTCTGACTTTAAAAACCTGCTTTTTCAAATTGCTTTCCGTTTGGATATGTATTGGCGAAAAAATTAAATAATGAAATAGTTTCAATTTACAATTCCCTTTACAGTAACTCTATTAATTGTACCTAAATTCAATCTAACCAGATCAATTTTCGAGGACGCGGTCTTTGCGTTTTGCCTTTAACCTTTTCTATTCCGTTTCTATTCTATTTTCCATCTATGGCTTGAACCCAGAAATGTTTTAATTTATTCAGCATCTTATTTAACATAGTTCATTAACGATTTTCCCATTAACGTTCTTGTTGATAGCACCACCAAAAAAAAAACGCAACCAATGACACCATGGCTTTACCATGACTATTAACAGTGCATTAATCAAGTTAGCTTGTAATTTTAATCAAGAAAAAGTAAGTTCCATTGTACCATTTTAGGAACAGGAGTATAATTTCAAACATATAGTTCAATAACTGGAAGAATCTCTTTTTTCTGCACCTATCGCACTTTATTTTGTACTAGAAATAATCCTTCATAGAATTATCAGTGTGAGCAACCTGGACTTGACACTTGACGACAGATGTTCTATTGGACCATACGTAATCCGTTCACTTCTTTAACCAGTTTTCCTTACAAAAAATTTCTATTCGAATCAATCAATCTACATATCTTTATCGTGATAAATCGTGTGCATAATTTCACTTTTAAATCATTTTCACTTAAGTGAAATTATGAAAATTTTAAAACAGTTTCCTTGAATGGAAAAACTGCGCTTAAGCTATAAGGCGAAACGCTTTAACTGACATGAAATTTAGATTTCTTGCCTTGCAATGTCTATTACAAAATCAATAATTGAACGAGTTTCTATTTACTTATGCTCGATTTATTTTATTGGCAGTTTGAGAGACATGTGTAGGCTACTTCTAATGTAATTTGCCATCTTGTGCCTCGGTGCCTGCACGCAGATGTGGGTACCTAATGCAAGTAATCTCTTACGAGCACAGGATTTTTATCTTGTAGAGTGGATATTGATGGCAAGACAGATCAAAAGGATTACGAACGGTTTCTTTAATATTTACGGAGAACGTGTATATTGACATGCATTTCTATATTTATTATAACAATCCAGTTGAAATAATGTTATTCGCAAAATTGAATCGTTTTTCCCTTTGAAAACATTAATCAGTAGTACTCGAAAGTTGAACAAAGGCTTTTTTATGGAATTTTGGACAGAAGGGGCCGATTTTCGTCAGAAATAGTAAACGTTCTTCATTTTACCGATGCCCACTGAATCAACCCTTGTAAAAGCAAACTGACAATCGGCACTAAATAAAGGCACCCGGGTTTTGGTGCATTTTTAGTTTCAAGTTAACCTACATTTTCGTAATAGTTCCACGCAACAATAAGAAATTTTCCCATCTCTCTTCGCGAGACAATATTATTAATTCATTTCTCTAATTATGGAATAGTTTTATGAGAAAAGAACACCGTAATCAGTCAGTAATCGTGCCACGCAGTTCTTCCTCCTACTGCAGAATTGTCGGTACATCTTATTACCCACGTTTGTCCATTGAATCCTAATCGCGCAAATTCATTGAATATACATGCGGCAGCTAACCAAACGTGTGGTAATCGTTTCCCGATATGAGCCTATGCTAATATTTACATATTCGGTGTTAGGTAAATCAGATTACTGTTACGTATTCAATGTAGGTAGTTTACGTGGACGGACATAGTTTGCAAGTGTAAAGAGTGAATGTTGCATTTAATTTGAAAAAATCCAGATAGAATAGAAACTATAAGTCAATCCCAAGTGAAGTTTGTGAGTTCAGTGAATGAGAACGTAGATATACAATATTTCATTTGAATGAGGTAGGTAGTTTCCAGTTAATTTGCAAAATCGTCCAAAACCACAAAACTATTAATGAATATAAGATAAGTCGTAAAACAGTAGTTGTTGCGAAAAATCAGGGACAGCATTTATTGTTACTTTGTTAATACATTTTCCTTGTTTAAGGTTTTTATTTATTTATAGCATACGAGATTAACGTAATCACTTTTTGTTAAAGTTACATACTTGCATAGAACTCCCACGAAACGTTCTACATATTATTCTGTTCGACTTTTCGCATTTTCCCTTTCTTTCATCGTTGAGAATATGCCATAAAATTTTACACATAACAGGCTTCTTAATATGTACCTACTGACTTGAATGGGATGAGTGGGAAAATAGATACAGATGTAGGTAATGAGCATATGCTCCGCAACTTTTCGTCTGACAATTTTTTTGCAAAGTGAACTCAGGGATAATCAAAGTTCGAGACAAATCAATTATTTAAGTTGAAGTTCAACATCTGAAACCCCCCTTGAACAATTTTATGTACGCAAGTAAACAAAATAAGGAGCCATTTGGCCAAAATTGTTGTCACCTAACTGTAAATAGTCCGGTGCCTTCATTGAAGAACAACCAGGGAGTAGGAAAGCGAGAACTGAGGCGAGAACGATGAAAGTAAGTCACTATTCCACCAATAGGCGATTCATATCGCACATTAAAATCGCAAAGTAACGGCTAATTATGACTTTTAATATGTTGTTAGAACCACTACCAGTAGTGTATATCTAATGAGTTTTTATCTTCGAAAGACATGTGCTAACTTTGCAGCACCCGAAAAACCGCGAAATTTTCGCACTTATTTTGTTTCTTTCAATATATAGCCCTAAACTATGCGTTTTCTTAATAGTATATTATATACCGCGGGACTGAAGTAGCACTTTTAATCCCGAAGGTAAAGTTTATGGCCCGACCGAAGGGAGGGCCATAATTTACCTGAGGGATTAAGACCACTACTTCAGTCGCAAGGTATATACGATATTTTTCGTACTTCCGAAACTGAAACACTTAATATGTATGGAGTTAGAGAACGTGTTCTTTCAAAAAATCGCTGCTTAACAAGTTACTATAGGAACGTTGCGGTGGTACGACAAACCCTATGCTATGATAACAAAAATAATTTGGAAACTGTCATTGCTAGTGTCATAATTTTGGTCGTGGGTGACAAAGGCGTATTTGATATTGATAAGAAGCAGCCAAAGTATGTAAAGAATTGATACCACCGAAATCCAAAAAACTATATGAGCAGCAGTACGATGCGTTTAAGAAGTAGTGCTGCATACAAAATGTGGAACAACCTACTGAAATTGCCTTGTTAGTAATTTCATCCTTCCGGGATAGTAGGGGAGCTAACACGAAATCCACTGAACGAGAATGATCAAAATTTTAACGGATGGAGTTCCATTTTGCCCTTTCAGAGTATGCCAAAAACGATCGTCTGCCGCCTCAGGTCATACGACTTAAGGCGCTGCGGGTACTTCTTGCGGTAGCAATTCTGAAAGGTTGTTTTTCGAAAAAATAAGTTATACACCAAATGAAAACGTTGATAATAGCTCTTAAAAAAATATTTAAAAAAATCGCGCACATTTGATAACTCCGTAAAAAACAATTCTTAGTCGGTTTTTCACGAACTTTCTACGGATATAACTAGGTTACCGTTGGAAGAATGAAGCTGATTTTTTTTTACAGACTAATGATAGGTACTACTAATGACTTAACGGTATTTCGTTTTTAAATTTTTTCTCTAATTACAAGATTATCTTATTATCTTAACATTATAAGATATCTTATAATTAGAGAAAAAATTTAAAAAAGAAACACTCTCATAGTCATTGGCTGTACCTATCATTAGTCTGTAAAAAAAATCAGCTTCATTCGTCCAACCGTAACCTAGTTATATCCGTAGAAAGTTCGTGAAAAACCGACTAAGAATTGTTTTTTTACGGAGTTATCAAATGTGCGAGATTTTTTAAAATATTTTTTTAAGAGCTATTATCAACGTTTTCATTTGGTGTATAACTTATTTTCTCGAAAAACAACCTTTCAGAATTGGTACTACAAGAAGTACCCGCAGCGCCTTAAGTCGTATGACCTGCAGACGATCGATTTTAGCATACTCTGATAGGGCAAAATGGAACTCCATCGGTTAAAATTTTGATCATTCTCGTTCAGTGGATTTCGTGCTAGCTCCCCTACTAGGATTTTCGTCCAAATTTAATCCCGGCGGGCGGCGGGACAAAAAGTGACACTTCAGTACTTGTCATAATGGAGTGAAGTTGTCACTTTAGTCTCGGAAGTACGAAAAATAAATTTTTTGCATTTTTAAAATAGACTAAAGTGCTTAAATTTGAGACAACAGCGAGCCCTGAAGGTGCAAAGATTGACACTTAAAAAAAAGGTGAAATTCTTTCGATCAAATTTTAAAAATCCACAAAATGGAATAACCGCAGTTTTCGTTAATTTGCCTGATTAGTTTTATAATCGTTTGAGGGAAGTTTCAAAGAAAAAACCATGCACATCCACAAGAAATTTATATTTAAACTATTAATATTGTATTCCATAATGTTTTTTTTTGGTTAGGATTGTTCATTTTGAACGCTTCGTGAATGGTTCAACATTTTCAGCCTGAAAAATCGGCCCATAATTGTCGAGGGCGTCTCCACTACAGCCTTTCTTGATAAAAATGTCAGAAGGTAGGATGGTTCCACTTCGCTTATCACAATTGTCGGAATGAACCCACGTTGGGTCTTCTGCCATTCCCATTGAGTTGCATCTTTTTCCACCCCCAACCACTTCTGAACTTGGTGGTAAGTTCAGTAAGCTTGAAATGCTGCACCATCTTTCGTTGGTGTCAAACGGACGAGGTCACCCTTAGCCAAGACGGCTGTTTTTACTTCAGCTGTGGTGATATGTCCAACGTTTTCCAAATGGCGAACTACAGTTTGTTCTTCCCATGCCAGAAACGCAGAGGTGGGGTGTCGCCCTCATTAAAGACGTGGAGAAACGACGCTAAACGAAATATATAGCATAAGAAGCGAGGAGAAACGGCCAAGAGAGGGAAAAGATCTGGACTACCAGAAAGCGAAAAAGCGCCCCCAGTGGAAAACACCGAAAGGAACAAAATTAAATTGTTCTGTAGATCTTTTATTTGAATCACTTTCATTAGAAATGGCCAGCCACTCGTCCATAAATCACAAACGACTTCAGCATAAATCAATTTAAAGTAGGTTACTTAGCTATGCATGGATTGTTTGCTTACTCTCATCTTCAGCTCACGTACACGTTCAACTTCCTTAACAAATAACGATTACCATACAAAGTTCTCCACAAGGAAACCATTTGCAAATAACAGATCGAGTGATTGCTTAACAATTTATTTAAGATTTTCGAAAATGTACCGACGCGTGAAAGCCTGTTTTAGGGTCGGCTGTGTATCGAACAACTCGTACAGTTCCATCGGCCTCCAACAGGCTATATTCACCACTTACTGAATTTCCATCCCTTGTCTCGTGTCTGGAGTGCGAGTTACCCGTTGCAGGATCGTCTACGCCATACGTATACGCATAATCCGGCTTGGCCTATAATTTCGAATAAAAATTGAAGCGCAAAAAGTGCGAAACTCACCAAGTAATCGACGGATGGTCCACGTAAACCGTCCACGAAGATCTTTTGAATTGGTCCGCTTAGAGGACCGCTAAATTTGTAAAACGAACGTCCACCTGCTTGGCATAGCACCTCGGTTGCAAGCTGAAATTAGGAATGCGCATTTTGGTATACAGTAATTATTGTGCACTTACAAGCAGTAGTGGAACAAACTGGAACATTATTCACGTATCTACAGCTAGTCTGTGTAAGGCACCTTAGGACGTTTTACAATTTATACAGTTAAATTGAAATTATATAATTAAGATGTTGTCAGTTGTGGTAAAATGTGCGGTTAGCTTCTGCAATTGGAACATTACAGCATCTTTATTATTTAACTGGTTTTGAAATAGAACGGAAACCTGTACCACAAATATTTTACTGGTACCTACCAGTTTATAGCGGACGTCTTTGTGTATTGTAAAGTATCGTTTAGATGAGGTGAAGTTCTTTTCAATTTATCTTGGGAAATTGGACATGTTCAAAGCAGAATAACTACCTTCGAAATTGCAACATGTACTTTGGTCCTTAGCATGATTCCTGCTTCCCTCAACAGCGACAGTAAAGTACATACCACTTTTACTGCGTAATGTAGGAATTAAAAGTCAACCAATTCAAAATGTAAATTTATAAAATACTAACGGTAGATCCTCGTTGAATATGTATACTTACCCTATTTAAGAAATCCTGAAACATAATTAATTTAGTGAACATTTGGATAACAAATCAGTATTTAAATGGTCGTGTAATGTGTCAACAAAAATGTGAGCGGGCATAATCCCATGTCTTTGCACTTGTTCCTTCACATTCATTGAGGTTTTGCCAGGTAAATAAAAGCCTGTCATCTCAAAACCACATCCCATATTAGAAATACCTTCAGTCGTTTGGAACAAAGTAGACCTTTGGGTCACTGGTTTGTGCAGCTTTTGTTATCTTCTCTCTTGACCAGGTGTTGACAGTTGACAAAGAACAAAGAACTCACTTGAAATTGGTTCACAAACTAGTGACGTGAAGATCATCTTTAGTTCGATCGACTGTATTTAAATGATAGATTAGCAAATCTTCCATTTCTTCTAATCATTGAACTTTTAAACAATGTTATAATACAAAGCCCATATCATAATTTGTAAAGGGTTTTGTATTATGCCGCTTCAAAATGGTAACCTCATAACTATTATTATAGCATCCCTAATTACACATATGAATGTTAATTGAATTAAAGATAATAAGAGTATTACTAAAGGGGTGACTCTATTTGTAGGGGGATGCAATTGTCGCAAGTTTTCAGAGCTGAGAAATTTTTGATATTGTATGAACAACGTGAAACATTTATTTATTACAATTACCTACATTGACAAATGCATTCTGGATTCTTTAGAATATTATGAAAAACACCAGTCTCCTCGCTCTTAAAAGTTAACTTGTAGAAGGTAGTGCCAGAACAACGTGATGGTGAAAGAGAAGATGTCGTTGAAAGTTTCTTTTGATTTTTAAGGATTGGCTTAATGAAATCGTAACTTCGCATGTAAGTATTTTTCTGCTGGACTTAGATCATCGACGAGCGGTGTGGCTTGATATCTCATTTGTGTTTGCATTACTTTGATTTCTGATGGGATTCTCAAGTTTGCCACTACCTTCAATCGATTCTTTAATGCTTGTACAGTACGTTCACCCAATTCGTTTGTTGCCGGATAACTAGGAGCATAGTGTATTTACACTATAAGCAATCAGTTTTTGATAAATTCCATTGTCTTTACAAAAACAAAGAAATTCTTCAATGCGGTGAAGACTGTTACATTATCTGACACGATTTCTTTTGGGTTACTGTTCCAAGTGAATATTCGCTGTAAAAGTTCGCTTGTATTTTTAAATGTAAGATGTTCATTGAGAATTTCAATTTCCGCTCATTTGAAGTTTGCATCGATGCAAACTAAATAATGTGGTCCTGCATAATCCAAACGAATACGGTCCCAGCTTTCTGCTGGGTATTCCCATTTACGACAAGATTTTACGCGGTTTTCAATGTCTTTATCAATGTTTTTCTAATAACAATAGCGCTTGGCGAACTGTTTCGCATTTTCTGTAGGTAGGTATACCTAAATGTGTAGGTGCCTGTAACAAATTTGGTTGCATGATTTTTGGAATAACGGACCAAATCTATGGCCCCTGTAAAGAACCCCATCATCAATAGTGTACCTATGGACCGTTTTGAATTTCTTGTATATCTTGTAAATCTGGATCATTTTCAGTTTGAGACTTGATTATATCATTGAGTGAAGTTAACTACTCAATAATTATATAGTAATTTATCGGCAATTTATAGTATCATTGGTTATCGTAAATATCTGTTATACATTATTAACGTGATGTAGGTAATCCGCATAAAAATGGGCATCATCCTTTAAAGTACTAATAAAACACGTAACCTTAAGAGCTATAAGAAAGAAAAATATTTGATAAACCACAGAAGTTAACCCTCCGCAATTCATGATTTTTACGTAGAAGCGTTGTGTGAAAACGTTATTCAATGGCAAAAGAAGCAATATTAGGGGATTACGCCAATCTTTTATTTAATTTTGTAGAAAGTTATGCTATGGAAGCTAAGGGGACCCAAAAGTAAAGGGGAATATTGGGCTGCGTTGGGGAGAAAAAGTGGAGGAACCCACTGTTCATCAGGTGTCCGTTAGAGTCACGTCTCCTGAGTCAGTGTACACAGTTGTGCGTCGCCGAATCGTGATAACATTTTGTTTTGCTGTTGGAGAAATCTGCCGCAGAAGCTATTGTAATGTTAAAGATTGCTTATGGGGTTGCTGCTCTAAGTAAGACCAGAATCTAAGAGTAGTTTTCCCGTTTTAAAAATGGAGAACTGACAAATAAAGACCAACCCTGTTTAGAGCGCTCCTCGACGACAAAAAGTGAAGAAAACGTTGACAAAATTAATGAACAAAGCATTTTTACCATTTTTTTGTATGATGTAATTGCTGTTGAAGTCTTTAAGTTCAAATAAATTACGAAAAAAAAGTGTTTGATGCAGCACAGAAATTAGCATTCCGAAATTCTTGATTTTTATGTAAAAGTAGCTATACTTAGGGATGATGTTTATTACGTGGCACTAAACTATTGCGGCACAACAGGAGCTTAGAAATGATAAAATTTTAAAACGGAGGAACACTAATTCTTTATTAAATTTTATTGGATGGGGTTGCTAATGAAACCTGTAAACAGGGGCGGTTTTACACATCCACTCAGGGGGGGGGGGGGGCGAAAATAAAAAAGCTACAGAATTACAGAATTGCAGATGCAGAGGTGCGCGGGATTTTTTTTTTAGTAGCTTTGACCCAATTTTAGCTGTTTTTTTGTTAAACTATCTATTGCCGCATTAATTTCCGAATACTGACAAAGGCAGAAAAAATACGAGAGGCGATAATGATAGTGCTAAAGTACAGTCGTGAGTCGCAGTATGGACAATACACGATTCCGCCCCCGCCGGCATTATTTTGTGTACCTATTTTATTCAATTTTACTTTTCCGTCAGGTGGTTTGTGGTTAGGTCTATTTGATTCGATTATTATGTAAACCTAATGAAATAAAAAAACAATTGAGTAGTATGTTTAGGGGGGGGGGCGATCGCCCCTGTCGCCCCCCCCCCAAAACCGCCCCTGCCTGTAAACTTGAATCGTTTAAGAAAGACAAATAAGTACTTGATGTACCACAAATGGTAACCCTCCGCATATGTTGATTTTTACACAAAATTAGCTATACCTAGAGATTTTATTGCAACGAAGCGCTAATTTTTTATTAAATTTTGTAGGGTGGGATTTATATGGAAGCCTGTAAGTTCAAATAATTGAAGAAATAAAGATATTTGATGCAGAACAGAAGTTAACCTTCTGCAATTAACGTTAGTTTAGTTGACTGGCACAATTAGTGTCCTGACGTAGATAGCACGAATAACATGACATTCGGTATATGTGATTGCTGTGTGAAGGTTTCTTTATTCTTGACCCCTTGCTGATCCTCTTCCAATGTTCCTCCACAATTTCTTCTGACCTTGGTGTTCCGCACCACGCTTTTATTTTACATCAATTTTCATCTTTGTCCAATTCTTTCAATTTCCATTTCCTACTAAGAGCTTTCCTAACTCTTATTTACAGTCTTATTTCTAAATTTGCAGCTAAGAAGAGATCGCTGGTAGTCCACAAACTTTTTGACCCCATTCTTATACTGTACACATAATCTTCGATTGGTTGTGCTTAGAAAATACAACCCCTCCTGGAAGGGTAGTTGGAACAATCCGCTAGCAAGTGACTTTTTGAGTATACTGTATATCATTTTTTTTACATGCAGTTGGCAGCATCTGCTATTCACTTGCTTATGTTGGTCACAATTAAAATAAAAATTAATGTTTGGCATATTTATTACAAATGTCAAATAAACCAACATAATTTATAAACAAAGAAAAATGGATAAATTAGAAATACAAGGATAATTTATTTCCAAGGTATTAGCGTAATTCAATTGCCTTATATTGTGTATTTTGTCAACACCATAAATTCTAATTGGGAACATGTGCCACTTATGTTTCAGGTCCTTCTTGAGCAGTTTGTCGAATACATAACCAATGGTGATGTCTTTATCATGTCAAACTCCAACAGCTGAAGGCAAGCATTATGATTATACTTACGAAACACCACAAGCAGCTGGCAAGCTTTGCCGTATTGTATAACTTCGAAAGAAAACATAGCAAATGGAGAACGTTTAAAGTGCACCGAAGGTAGTGATTCATACCGCGAACTTTAATAGTTTATCTACACATTCCACAATATCGAGTGTTTTGAGTGCCATTTACCCAGTGTCATTTGCGCCGTCTCAATTTCGTAGCATACTTCAGTACCTTACGGGTAAGTGTTACATCACCAGTGACTTAATAAAACCCCTTCGATTTGCAGATCTACCAAACGTACCCTTTCAATAACCAAAGTCAATTGTTATATAGTTTCCTCTAGTAAGTAAATTATGGCCGATCTTGCGCCACTCTTGGAAGCGAAAGATAAACGGTTTGAGCCTAATTTAGGAAGACGATTTCATTCTAACATTAATAGGAGATTTTATACGAATTCCGTACGAAAACCGTGTTGGATTTTGCGACCCCTTAGTCTTAGAAGATGTGTTCTAGCTATAACCGTACTATGTATTTTATCGATTATATATTTTTCGCATTATACGTTTAACTCGCCATTAACTAGGTAGGTCGGTGTGGTTCTGTGGGGTCGGTCAAGATCGCTTTGCTTTTCAGTTTGATACATCGAAACACTAGACCTGAACCAAATATTAAGTGCAGTATTATGAATGGACCACGTTTGCCTCAGAATCATGATCATAAGACGGAAGCGCGGTTACGGAGTGACCCCAAGGTCCTTGTCTTTGTGGAGACGATGTATTCGAAACTTGGACGGGAAATTGCCGAGCTTTTGGTGTACACTAGGATTAAGTAAGTGCTAATTTCGAGAGGTTTGTCTGTAGTTGTATTTCGTAGGTACAAAGTTGAAGTCTCCGGTAAAAGCTTGCCCGTTCTAACTAATCTGGATAAAGGAAGATATGGAGTTATTGTTTTCGAGAATTTCAATAAGTATCTGCAAATGGATAACTGGAACAGGGAGCTTTTAGATAAATATTGTCGGGAATATATGGTGGGAGTGATTGGGTTTATTAATCCCAGTGAGGAAACGCTAATTGGTGCACAGCTGAAAGGATTTCCTTTGTTTATTTATACCAATTTAAAACTTAAGGTATGAGGATATGCCGAGGGGTTGAACATCTACGTTTTAGTGTGCATCATATTTAACATTTACCTGATCGTTACTATTTCATTTTGTGTTGTAATTGAATTGCACCTTTAACGCCCATATTATATTAATACTTTAAAAGGATTTGTTTAATATGTTTAGATTGATGTACGCAGTGTATACATTCATTCTTACACATGCTCAATATGGTACATGTACAGGGTATTAAAGTGACCAAAAAGTTTCCAAACATTGTTATTTTACGAACTATCAGCGGCGCCCCAAAAAAAGTTCAGGGGTAGAAAATTGAACATGACCCATGAAAATGCAATACCCTGTAGACCCATGATGTAAATCCTTCCGCTTAACTTATATTCCAAATTTGAGCAAAACTGCAGAAGATATAATGAAAAACCTTAAAATATTTTGAAATTTTAACACTGTATATCAAGTAACGAGGCGTTTGCGGACCTATGTTAATATGAACTTTTGGTAAATAATCCAAGGAATTAGTCCCTTCCTTATTTAGGAACACCCTGTATATTTTAGATTTAGTTTAATGGTCCCACTTATTGTTCTGTTGGTGTGTTCACCTCTATTCCACCATCTGTTCCTTTAACTAGTTTCTTGTATTGTACGGATTCGAGGTAAAGGGAGGGGCCCAAACCCGTACTTTGTCCCAACACGGAAAAAAGTAAAAGAAATCTCGCATAATGGAAATGAGATCGACACAAAATTGATGAAAAAAATGGACAATGGGGGGGGCAGGCAGTGGCGGTGCTAGGTGGGGGCCTCCCCCCCCCCCATTGTCCATTTTTTTCATCAATTTTGTGTCGATCTCATTTCCATTATGCGAGATTTCTTTTATTTTTTTCCGTGTTGGGACAAAGTTCTGGTTTGGGCCCCTCCCTATACCAAATCCTGGGACCGCCACTGGTTGTTGGTAAATTCTAGCCTAGCCCGGCATCTTCTTTCCAATGGGCGTTATTCGAAGAGTGTATGGTGTACCTGTACAATAATCAAGTTCAATGATATCAAGAACAAGTGAAGTTTCTTGAAGCTGTCTGCAAATGTTTTTGTATCAGTTTTAGTAGGAACAGATTATTTGGATCATTAAAAAAAACTAAGTAATTTAAATAATTATTATTCTATTTGTCGACCGTCTGCGTGCGGGGAATATGCGAAACAAGCTTTTCTTGCTTTCAGGGATTTTGTTTTAATTTTTTTTTCATGACTCAAAATAAATTTTTGTCGTATCAATTAATTAATTGTGTGTTTATATGAACCTATTGTACGACCCGGATAGAGTTTGCATTTCAGGTTTTGCTTTTCGTGTACAATTGTCAGGTGTTAATGAAAATTTGTGTAGTTCATTCTGCCAAAAACGGTGGTTTATGCCCTTAGCATTAAGAAAACCTATCACACCGCGTACTACACTACTTGCGATTGGAGGAGGAATTTTAAACCCTTGTAAAGAACCCTTAACACCAAGCTTAACACTATCCGATGGATCCATAATGGCGGCTGTCGCGTACCAACAGATGTAGAAACGTGATGCGCATGCGCGAGACACCATCCGCAACCGTGTTTGAATTTTTCTACACACCTGCAGCTTTCATTATCTATGTACTATTTATGCAAGTCGATGTTTACTATTTGCCTACCATTAATGATTTTATTTAGCACTAGGTGCACACCTGTATACCAAGGTGATCTACCCCTCGGAAAATGCATTATTTTAATTCTAATGTAGATGTGTGTTTGCAACAGGACGCAGCTTTAAATGCAGCTTCTCAGATTTTGAGACTGGCAAGAGCAGGGGAGACAGCGTGGGGTACACTACCGGGAGAGGACTGGACAATATTTAAAGCTAATCACTCCACGTATGAACCGCTGGAATGGGCACATCGCGATAACAACTATCAAACAGACGAAATGAAAATGCCCCTACCTACAATTGTGCAGGATCACGGCCTGTTCGATAACATCCAACGGGTAATTTTCGGGTCGGGTCTTAAATTCTGGTTGCATCGACTATTATTCTTGGATTCTTTGAGCTATTTAAGTCACGGCCAGCTGAGTTTATCGTTAGATCGCCTGTTACTGGTAGACGTAGATGATATCTTTGTAGGCGAGGTCGGAACCAGATTACGTCCCGACGACGTCAAGGCGCTGCTGGCAACTCAAGAGCGCATACAAAATATGATCGGCGGTTTCAAGTTTAACCTAGGTTTTTCTGGCAAGTATTTCCACCATGGCAATAATGACGAGGACAAAGGTGACGACTTAATTTTGGAGAACATCGACAAATTTATGTGGTTCTCGCACATGTGGAACCATCAGCAGCCGCATCTTTACGACAACTTAACGCAGCTAACCGAGGATATGTTGCTTAATAAAAATTTCGCCAAAGAAAAAGGAATACCCGTAGATTCTGGCTATTCCGTTTCGCCACATCATTCGGGCGTTTACCCGGTTCATGACATCCTGTATACGGCTTGGAAAAAGGTTTGGAATATTCGGGTGACATCGACTGAGGAGTATCCGCATCTTAGACCTGCCAGGTAAACTCTTCAAGGTTGACTCAATACTCACATCCTTTTGCAGGTTGCGCAGGGGGTTTATTCATCGTAACATCATGGTGCTGCCCAGGCAAACTTGTGGATTGTTTACTCATACTATGTTGATCGAAAAGTATCCTGGTGGTAGGGAAAAATTAGACGAATCCATCCAAGGAGGGGAACTTTTTCAAACTATTGTTTATAATCCTGTGAGTTGAAGATCGTTACTCGTATTGTATTGTAACTGGGCATGGGAATTTTTTTCGATATATCGATAGGTATCGATAGTTATCGATATATCGAATAACAATAGGTAGAGCTAAAAAAATCGATATATCGATACCTATCGATATGTCGATAACTATTGATATGTCGATAACTATTGATATATCGATATGTCGATAACTATTGATATATCAATATGTCGATAACTATTGGTACGATAAAATTATGTTATTGTTGAGATTTCAACGAGCGCTACTATTTTTATTAATAAAATCCATTTTCGGGTTTACTCTCGTGTAAATTTACTATTTTTAGTTGCTCGACGTTTCGGAAACTTAACTTTGCTCCCTTTCTCAAGAGAAGCGCTACGTCACATCATCATCCATGCCAAATAAACGCAGTAATAAAATCTTTAGAAAATAGATCTTTTCGTCTTACTGACGATTGCTCAAAAAAAGAAGCACTTCAAAAGCTTGAACAAAATGTTGCATCAAAATGGCTACTCTTTAGATAAAATAAAGAAGACAATCAAAGGGTGTAATCATGGCCTATGTATCGGTATCTGATTGATGGTTACAGAGGACCAGTCACAAAAAAAACAGAAAAAGCTAAGAACACTTCAAATTTAGATATACAGTTTCAATTGATTGACATTTACGAAATCTAACAAAAAACTCTTGATAAAGGTAGCAAAGAAACGTCGAGTAACTATTAATAGTCACTTTACACGAGAATAAACCGGAAAATGGATTTTATTAATAAAACTCGATAAGGTAACTATCCCTGTCGATAACTATCGATACGTCGAATATTTCTCTCAAATGAGGCGTGCAATTACCGCTGTAATTAAGCGGTAATTGCATTGTAGAAAGCTAAAGAGCCCTGCGATAATTGCACAGTTAATATGGTAACTCCATTAAAGTTGCAAGAACTGCATTCGGTTATTTTCATATTTTGTTAAAAGAGCCCTCTTGTCTTGTCGGGTTCTTTCGCCAAAATATAAAAGTAAACTCATGCAGTTTTTAGACACGCTTTCAAAAAAATTATCGGTAATATTATATCGATACCTATATATTAAAAACTATCGCCATAACGAGAACTATCGATATACCGATACTTATCGATATAGCGACAGTTATCGATCTTTCGATAGTCATCGCTGTATCGATAACCATCGATATTTCGATAATTATCGGCATATCGATAAGTAAAATACATCGATAGGTAAGTACCCGATACTTATATCGATAGGTGAAAACAGTTATCGCCCATCCCTAGCGATAACTATCGACATATCGGTAACTATCGACATATCGATATATCGATACCTATCGATAGTATTCATATATCGATATCGAATATCGATAACTATTGATATATCGATAGCTATCGAAATATCGATAACTATCGAAATATCGATAACTATCGATATATCGATAACTATCGACATATCGATAACCATCGATATTTTGATAATTATCGGCATATCGATAAGTAAATTATATCGATAGGTAAGTACCCGATACTTATCGATAGGTGAAAACAGTTATCGCCCATCCCTAATTGTAACTCACTTGGTTCAACTATTTTTTTGTTGTCTCTACATGTCTCATTTTCCTTATGCTGTTACTCCTATCTTTCTCGCATGCGTCACACCCTCTTTCTCATCCTTTACACAGTTTTCTTACCTCTTTTATGTTCGTCCTTCCTTTTGGAACTTTTTTTTTCATCCTTTCCTTTCATCTTTCTTCCTATTTAATTTCTACCATTGTTATTTTTAGATAAATATATTTATGACACACATGTCGAATTATGGAAATGATCGCCTAGCTTTGTACACTTTTGAGTCGGTGATAAAATTTCTTCAGTGTTGGACTAATATTCGATTAAAGACCGCTCCTCCATTACAGTTGGCCGAAACTTATTTCAAACATTTCCCTGAAGAAACCGATCCCGTTTGGGGGGTAAGTGGTTGCAATATCTTTATTCGCATAGCATACGCTTCTTTTAGAACCCTTGCGATGACTTGCGCCACCAGAAAATTTGGTCGAGAAACAAATCGTGCGACTCTCTGCCGCGATTTTTAGTCATTGGTCCACAAAAGACGGGAACGACGGCGCTGTACACATTTCTGTCCATACACCCGGCTATCGCGAGCAATTTACCCAGCCCCGACACCTTTGAAGAGATACAATTTTTTAATGCGAACAACTACTACAGAGGTCTCGATTGGTGAGTGCATACGTAAATTGATGCTTTGGTGCAAGTGGGCGAATTTTCTTAATTTAGGTACATGAACTTTTTCCCAACGGATCCTAATTCGACCAACCGCTACTTTTTTGAGAAAAGCGCCACCTACTTTGACGGCGATTTAGTTCCGAAACGCGCTCACGCCCTCTTACCGCACGCCAAGTTGGTAACAATTCTGATATCGCCAGCCAAAAGGGCGTACTCATGGTATCAACATACGAAAGCTCACGGTGACGTCATCGCCAACAACTACAGCTTTCACCAGGTGATTACGGCGAACGACACCGCTCCAAAACCGCTGAGGGATCTACGAAATCGTTGCCTGAACCCCGGAAAGTACTCGCAGCATTTAGAACGTTGGCTGTCTTACTTTCCACCGCAACAGATGCACATAATCGATGGTGAAGCGTTAAAATCGGACCCGATGGAAGTTATGAACGAAATGCAAAAATTCCTAAAAATTGTTCCTCTCTTTAATTACACATCTCATTTAAGGTAATGCTGTATTTAAATTCTTATTATTTTGTCAAATCAAACTTACATAAGGTTAATAGAAAGTTTTTTTTAAATTGATTTGCAGGTAAGTTCAAATTTTACCAAGAGCTCAGCATAACAAATGCACTGATTCTCACAGAGTACTTGACCTTGTACATTTATTTGTTATCAGTCAGTCTAGGAACTAGGTCTCTGTGATTTTCATTGCGCGCAATTGGATCTGTCTCTTGGTTTTCACTTTCACCTCAAAAGAAGAAAAACCATTATGGTTCAAGACCGATTTATAAACTTTGTCGCCCGCGTTCGCGCTGGCAGTTCGTGTAATTGACCAATGGAAAAAGAGTATCCAGAGTTTGACTTTGACACGCCAAATGTGTACTCTTTTTCCATTGGTCAATTCTATGAACGCGAGCGCGGGCGACAAAGTTTATAAATCAGCCTTCATGGTCATGTACTGCATTGCACAGGAATCTGCAATCCAAACATTGGGGGATTTAACGATATCCTGTAGGCTTACAAACGCAGACCCTTCCTTAGGCCTAAAAACGTCACGAAATTTGCATTTCTCTGTAATGAAGTACCTTTGGATTATTTGGAAAAACTATTTTTTTTCACTCTAGCAACTCTCCAAAGCGTTTTTTAAGTCCTCAATTTTTGTTTGTGTGTACAACTGTCTGGCTGTCTATTTGTTTTATTGATATGGCAAATTCTGACGTCATATATTTTTGAAAGGAGAACTATAAGACCTTTAAAGTCAGAAAAGACTGTAGGTCCCATAAAAAAAGAGTTCTTGTCCGTACTCACATATAACATTTTGTGATTTTGTTCACAGATTCGATCCAAAAAAAGGATTCTACTGCCAAATAATCAGTGGGGACCACACTAAATGTTTGGGACGGAGCAAAGGTCGCCATTATCCGCCGATGGAAGAAAGATCCTTGAAGTTTCTGCAGCGCTATTATTTAAGCCACAATACCGCCTTAGTAAAGCTACTAAAACGTATTGGCATGAGGAACATTCCTCAATGGCTGAAGGACGACCTAACCGATACTCCGGGTTAATTCCTATTTTAGAAATTTTTATAATCAGCTATAGAAATGATATTTTCTCTAAGTGTGGTAGAGTGAGTATAGATTTATCGGGATTACACAAGAAACTGCTGAATGTTGATGTCGTAAGGATGCTAATAATCCGATTCATCTTTCTTTCGCTAATTACGAAGTGCAAATAACTTCGCTTTGTGTACAGGCATTAATTACTTGGGAGACATTTAAAAAAGAAATTTGATTATGGAAGTAATGCTCTTAATACATTTACACACATATCATTGCAAAATTTGTAAGAAGCAAAGCGATTGATCATGAATAAACAACATTTGTTTACTACAATCCCTAGAATACAGCATGAGAAGGAATATTAGATAATTTGCTTTTTTGAAAAATGTCAAAGTGCTCAGTATTAAAAATTTGAAATATCGTATCGATGTTGTAGTAAATCACTTTCTAAAAATGAGTTTTAATGATAAATACTCATGATGTTTGTTCACCAAAGGTCAGAATAGCCATGTTTAGTGTCAGCAGATCAGTACATATACAACAATTGTATTAACAATAATATCCATGCATTGAACCTAAAGATTAAAGGTCGATGGAGGTGAACTGGACTTTAGTTCTGAGAATTGAGAGGAAAGTGTTGTTTAACGGAAGTCGGGATAGAAATGGCAATGCTGCAGATTTGAGCGAAACTATTTACCACTTCGTTTAGAAAGCATCATTCTCGGTTATTTACATGTTAAGAACGGAAGCTGGGTTTCCATTTAATCAAAGTGTAGTTAGATCAATAATTAATCAAAGGTATGTAGATTTTGTACCATATATTTTACCCTAAATTATTGCTAATCAATTAAATCGGTTCGTATTACCAAATAATACAGGGTGTTCCAATCTAGGTAGATTAGTATGGAAAGCTTATAGTGTTGCAGATCATTTTGTGTCATATGTGGATAAGAATCTCAGACATATTTTGAAGCTCTGATTGTAGCTTTATGAATATTTGTTAATAAAATTAATGTAATTAAAGGACATATTTAAATCAAATTTTTTAGAATATTCATTTTTTTTGTTTATTGGTATATTATATTTTTATTCACATGCAACATTTGTCGGCCAGCTTTCTTGTTACTGTGATATGACGGTTGATCTCCTTAGAAACAAATGTATTCACATAGGAAGTTATCTATCAGATAAGTTTAACTGAAACATTACATAGGTACATAACTTGCATTTGTTTCCAAGAAAATGAATTGTCAAATAAATCAAAATATGTATAGCCATGTAATTGACCATTTTATAAAATATGGGACGTTTTAATATCCCAATTCTATGCAAAACAGAAGGAATATCCCACATTCCTATCCTACAAACGGCAATCCTAAATGAACTATAGGATGTGAGAATTTCACCATTCGATATTGAAACGCAAATTCAGCTTACTAAGTTGGTGTATATAGGTGATCCATACTATTCTTGTGACTTTAGACACCCTGTAGATATTTGGAACACAAGGCACGCACAATTTGCAAACTTCTAAAACGTTTTTTAATATTTTTGTTGTGGAACTATCCTCTTCGTTTTGCACTGGCAAAGGAAGAAGCAAAAGAGGCAAGCCACACTAATATTCCTTACAAATACGGAAGACTGAGCTATTGCTACACCAATTTGAGATAAAAAATGGAAGGGACCGATGGACATATTTGTGTGATTTGTTTAAGGTCTCTAAAGGTACATGATAGAGTTTGGGTTATAATTAATAGAATTTTTTTTAAATTTTAAATCTGTACTCTGAAGGGTTTTTTTGTGTTCATTAAATATGGACTAGGATTTACGTTATAAAAATCTTCCTGGAAATTGCATTTGATTCCAGATTTTGGAATGTATGATATCCTTAGAGGCCTTAAGTCTCCAACCTTAGTTGCGCATCAATCACTGTATGGGAGTTTAATTACACTATCCCATGTAAATTGAACTGTATCATAGGAATTGTAAAATTCTTGTACTTATTTGTTGTTATTTATTCCTGTATGTGATCAACAAAGTAATTATTTATAGATGTAGAATTTTCTCTAATCAATAAGGTAACAACATATCAGTTTAGAAGTTTGTGCCATTTTCGTTTTCAAAATGCGCACGTTGGGTGCAACTATTTATTATTTTATTTTATAGAAAGTGCATATCGTTCTGACTGAATGTATCCGACAGGGTGTTCACTAGTTGTATATTTATAAAAAAGGAACATTATATTGACCTGATTTTGTTTTGTTTATGGCTTAATATTTATTTATAACGTAGTTTTATTAAATTATAATTGGGGAATCATCACAAAAGTTCATAATAACGAGATTAACTATGTACTAGAAATAATTTAATGTATATAAATGTTAAAAAGAAGTAAAATATTGACAATAAAGTATATACATATACGTCCAACTAACGCCTTATTTTGTCCAAGATACTTTGGGTATATCGAAATGCTCGGTGAGGCCGTCGAGGTGTTGATTAAATTTTTCAACCCGTTCTTTGTGTGTCATCGAAGCCTTTTCTAATATTCGCTCAGTTTGCTAAAACAAGAGATCAGAAGATTCAAGGAAAAAGAACACAACTTACCATTTTTTCCTGCATCTTTTTGAAAGCTATTTCCGCATTGGTTTTCCTGGAGGCCTGAACAACTTCTTGTTTTTGATCTGATTCAATTACCTTGGAAACTTGTTCTAACATCTTTTTGTCTTTATTTTTCTTCTTTTTACGTACTGCATCGCCCTTTATTTTCAATTTTCCCTTGGCAACTTGTTCATATGGATCCATTGTAAAGGAAAATATTTACAATCGTATCAGTAACATAACCTAAAATGTGTATACTGTCAATTTAGTTAAAGCTCATTTGGTATAGAGGTCGCCATGAAACAGTGTTGAAGTTAGCAGTGAGTTTGTGATATGGCAACAGTGTACGCATGCAATAAATAGCCGACGACCAGCGTCGTCGAGAATCGTAGACAACCCTAGCCCATTGACCTATCCTATACTATATTAAATATAGTATAGAATAGTTCGATGCTCTAACCTAAAGTATGCACTAATCCCATAAATGTAAATGCCTGTGTACCAGTGGCGGTTTTAAATTTTTTGCGCCCCTAGGCACACCGAAAGATATGCGCCCCTCCAAAAAATAATCTTTAAATTGCAATAAATTTTAAGATGCTAATAAAATTTACATTATAATTTTTAAAACTAATATGAAAACAGAGCTGGGCAGTATTCAATTTTGTAAGTACTTTTTAGTATTCAAATCCTTTAAAGTATTAAAATACTTAAATTAAATATACTTTTATGGAAGCAGTATTTGTATTGTAACTCAAATACTTTCACAAATATTTAGTATTCGAATACTTCGCAAAGTATTTGGATACTTCGTAAAGTATTCGAATACTTCGCATAGTATTTGAATACTTAACCTTCCTTTTTTTTACCAAAAATCGACTGCACCAAAATTTCCCGGGAAAACACTTTTTCTTATTAATTTTGGTGCGTAGAATCCAAAACAATTCGTACTTTTTCGATTAGACTTCTCAATCAAAAGTTATAGACTAGAAACCAATTTCGAAAGAAAATTCAAAGGGCTGTAACTTTTGAACTAGTAGCCCAATATTGGAACTGTTTGAAATTATGGATTCTACAGGCCACATTCTATAAGAAAATTTTTTTCCGGGTCGATCTGAGACAATTTTTTTTGAGGGCCTCACGACTGCACCAAAATTTCTCGGGAAAACACTTTTTCTTATTCATTTTGGTGCGTAGAATACAAAACAATTCCTACTTTTTCGATCAGACTTCTCAATCAAAAGTTATGGACTAGAAACCAATTTCGAAAGAAAATTCAAGGGGCTGTAACTTTTGAACTAGTAGTCCAATCTTGGAACTGTTCGAAATTATGGATTCTACAGGCCACATTCTATAAGAACATTTTTTTTCCGGGTCGATCTAAGACAATTTTTTTCGGGCCTCAAAAAAAGGCAGTTACAACCTTCCTTTTTTTACCAAAAATCGACTGTACCAAAATTTCTCGGGAAAACACTTTTTCTTATTAATTTTGGTGCGTATAATCCAAAACAGTTCGTACTTTTTCGATTAGACTTCTCACTCAAAAGACTAGAAACCAATTACGAAAGAAAATTCAAAGGGCTGTAACTTTTGATCTAGTAGCCCAATATTGGAACTGTTTGAAATTATGGATTCTACAGGCCACATTCTATAAGATAATTTTTTTTCCGGGTCGATCTGAGACAATTTTTTTTGAGGGCCTCAAAAAAAGGCAGTGTACAACCTTCCTTTTTTTACCAAAAATCGAATGTACCAAAATTTCTCGGGAAAACACTTTTTCTTATTAATTTTGGTGCGTAGAATCCAAAACAATTCGTACTTTTTCGATTAGACTTCTCAATCAAAAAGACTAGAAACCAATTTCGAAAGAAAATTCAAAGGGCTGTAACTTTTGAACTAGTAGCCCAATCTTGGAACTGTTTGAAATTATGGATTCTACAGGCCACATTCTATAAGGGAATTTTTTTCCGGGTCGATCTAAGACAATTTTTTTTGAGGGCCTCAAAAAACGGCAGTGTACAAACCTTCCTTTTTTTTACCAAAAATCGACTGTACCAAAATTTCTCGGGAAAACACTTTTTCTTATTCATTTTGGTGCGTAGAATCCAAAACAATTCGTACTTTTTCGATTAGATTTCTCACTCAAAAGACTAGAAACCAATTACGAAAGAAAATTCAAAGGGCTGTAACTTTTGATCTAGTAGCCCAATATTGGAACTGTTTGAAATTATGGATTCTACAGGCCACATTCTATAAGAAAATTTTTTTCCGGGTCGATCTGAGACAATTTTCTTTTCGGGCCTCAAAAAAGGCAGTGTATAACCTTCCTTTTTTACTTAAAATCGACTACACTAAAATTTCTCGGGAAAACATCAAGTATGACATAAAACGTTGAAGGCACCACGGGTGTTTTGAACACAACGCCCACGGTCAACGTATAACCCTCGGGCCGGAGGCCCTCGGGTTCTACACTGTTGACCTGGGGCGTTATTTATTTCATAACGCCCTTGATACCTTAATAACTATTACCAATTCCAATTAAACTTAAAATATTACCTAAAATAAATATAGTGCAAAAAATGCCGCCCTTTAAAGCTGCCACCCCTAAGCACGTGCCTAGTGTGCCTATATGTAAATCCGCCACTGCCTGTGTATTATACAAGTCTAAATGAACAAAACTTGAATAATTCATATTTACGGACAATTACAGTTCATAGCTTACCGATTGTTTTTTAATTGATAACACCCTAACAGACTATGCTATTATCCATATACGGCAATAGGTCTTTGTCTTATCAAAAACACCTTTAGGCCACTGCATGCGATTGAATAATGTGCATCTATAAGAAAATTAGAAAAAAAAAAAAAAAAATTAATTAGGGAACTTGTTGGAAAATTCATAATCACTATTTTTAATTGAATGTGTTAATGAATGCCATTACCACTACAATGGAAGAGGTCTGTAATCAAAGATAGATTAATTTAGTCATAAAATATAGAATCCCACTTTGGGTTTTGTGCTGTCATGTCCGTCTATAGTTTTTTCTATATTTTGTTGATTGTTGACTGTATACGTACTGAACGCACCCTTTAATATTTTGTCAAAAATCACTGTATCTTGGAAAGTTACATATTTCAACATGGACATGATCACGTGGATAGCTTCATGGGGTAACATTGACATTTCACACAAACTTCAAATACTGTTTTATTTTTCTATGTCAATGTTGCATTATAGATCAAAGGCAAGTGTCAATTTAGACTATTTATGCCAAACATTAACATAAACGATACTTTCATAGGAGTCAATGTTTTCCTAGGGTAGGGTAACATTGACAGTTTACACCTAAAACAAATAAAAAGCATAATTTTGTAATCAATACATTTTTTTAATTTATACCATGTGTATCATAAAGAGGATAGACGTACCTTACAAATTTTGCGGAAAAAGTAGGACTTTAATTACTTACCAAATGATAAGAAAAAAACATTTCTTTAAACTCTCCAGTACAGATCAATATATCATGCGGTTGGTTCAATGATTGAGAGACAGGTTGAGAGATGATGACGAGAGTCATTAACCAAAATGGATTCTACCATTGCTTAAATATAAAATATTTTAACAATGATTCTACCAAGACATTCAATGATTTCTTCACAATTCGCTAATAGTTTGATATGCTATGATATTGTGATCTGTTGGTACCTACTTATACATACCTATATGTAGGATTAAAAATTTATGAACATTCTCTACACATCACGCCCATTTTGAAACATAAGGGATAACATTCTTAAAAAATTCACTTTTCTATAAATAGCGTGAAAAACGCTGCACCTTTTGCTGATTGTTTGACAGAATGCTCTTCAAAGCTCAATTATTTGTGAAGGGCATCAAGCAACTCTCATTCGCAGTAGCGAAAGTGTTTTCCCCATCATCAACTACCCGTCCACCATCCATGTTCAAGCATCTTCTTGCTGCTGCCCACGTCAGGGAAAAAAGGAAGTGAGAACGTATGTGTGAATTCACCCACAAGTCGTTTAATGTGGCTTATTTATCTTGCAATAACATTGTGAATTTCTGTAACTGTTGAGCGATTTTGATCCATAAAATAAAATAGGTGAGTACATCAAGGTTTTTAGTACAAGATCCACCTGCTAAAACGTATGAAGGATGAATAGAGCTCTTCTATGAACTTAGGTAGGTACATCAATGGGCATTTTTATCACATCAATACTGCAAGACTAGGTTCAACATTTGTTGTTGCTTGACGCAACTCTTTCATGGAAAATATATGCACTATTCAGAGTATATTGTACTTACGTATAAACAAAGGTACAAAACCCATATAGACGTTACCTATGCGGGGTTGAAAGTTTGAAACATCTATAAGTAATTAGATTTGAACTATATTCTATTTTTGATTAAAAAGTCAAAGTGTTGAGTAACTCTCGATAATAGGGCCTTTGTTTGGGCTTAGCGATAAGGCTCATTGTTTATACTCCGGGCTCGTCGGCCCCGCACAGTGCATATACTTGCCCCTATTCAATTTACGCACGTTTTAGGTACACATAATTTTCTACCATGTTTGCTTTACTTTAAAATCAATAATATGAAAGCTGTAGCATAAAAAATTAAGAGCCCGGAAAACTGTAATTGTTTCAAAATTTATTCGCCAGTGCATAATGCATAATAACCGAAAAAATTACCTACCTATCGAAAACGGTACAAATATACCAAAAAAATAACAAGTAACAAATTTAAATGGTCAGCAGTAGGTAGGTACTTAACGGTATAAGCAGGAAAGCTATTTTCGAGAAGACAATTTTATGTTTACCTGAGTTATACCTGATGGTAGGTAGGTATATTATTGCATTGAAAGCATTTTTGTTAGATATTTGAAGTACAGCTAGGTAGAGTGAAACGGGTTGTAGGTATTCAATACGAAGATTTGTGGTAATCTTTAGAGACAATAAACTCTAACGGAATGGTAATAAGCACCCCATTCACTTTAAGATGCTATAACTGTTTTCTTAATTGCATTCCTTAGGGGATAATGCTTAATGCTTTGAAGCATACCTACCTAAGAACAATTTATGGTTTTTCCTTATTATTATGTACCTAGTAGCTACAATTAATCGACAAATTCGATAGAGCAACCTACCGAATGTTATGAAATAACCAAGATTGTTGCGGTCTTGGGATAACTTTTTTGTCTTTCATGAAGTGAAACCGATACAAGGGATGTTCATATTGACAAAACGAAGGCTTTTCTGTATCATAATCATATGCGCAGTTTTTAAGGCCATTCTTAAAAATTTATGAAATTCTGTTTTCATAAAAGCCTGATGTTGATGATCTGCAAAATGCATTAAAGATTTGCGCAAGTACATAGGTAATGTATAGAAGGAATTCCCTTTTCTCTTCCTCTTCTCGTTTCAAACTCTCTTTCAAACTCCTCAAAAACTGCCGGGTTTTCAAAAAGCGACAACCCTTTAATAATATTCATCCAAAAGCCTAATTGTTTTCACGTTTATTTAAAATTGGCGAAATTATAACATTGGATAAGTAGACAATTTCAAGAGTTGTTCTATAGTTTCGAGTTATTTGTTGTGGTGGAGTTGAACATTTGAATATCTAACATTCTAAATTGTTGTTTGCTACATCACACAAAAATGTACCTATGAATCCCAACCCTTGCTGTTTCAAACTTGGGTAGTAGAAATTGGGGGTAGTCAAGGAAACAAAAAAATAATAAAATATATAGCCCACAAATAAACAGGTCCTTTACTTTCTCAAACGCTTTATTTCGTCATTGGACGTATTACATTTATTAAATTAACAACTTTAATCTTGATGGTATTTTGCTTAAGACAATTACCTAGGTACTTTTCCTGAAAAAATCCCCGATTTAAAATAAATGGATGACGCATGAGTTATAATAATTTACATAACTCTGAAGAATAGTTGCCGAAATGGCAAAATGCAAACATAAATTATAATTCTTATCGGCGTTATGATAGCCAATGTAATGAGATCGCACCAAATATTTATTGAACAATTTCCATTGGCGATCTTTGTCGCTGAATTGCCGATTTCGAGGAAATCTGGTGCCTGGGGACAAAGTCAAACTGGGCATTGAAAATTTGAAGAACTAAAATACAATTTTGAGCCATTTGTGCGATTTTTTCTTCTTCAAATATAGGGGTGGCCCACGTAATGTGCTTTAGAGTAGTAAGGTATCTGCATAACGCTTCTAAATAGTCTCCAATTCAGCGTCATTAAAAAATTAAAAAGTGGTCCTGCTAGCGGTGCTTTCCCCTTGAAATACTCTGTAAAAGAAAGTGCACGAGGGAAGGTCAATAATAAATTAAATACGCTCGGTCAGTGTCAGGGACAAAATAGTCTTTTAAATAAAGAAGCGAGCATATAAGAGCAACAAATTCGACCGATGATTGCAATGTCCAAGCTTCCACCACCTAACTGTCTTCTGGAATTGTGACGATTATATAATTTACGCGGGCTTATTGCAAGCAAGAAGCGATCACAATTATTCACACCACATTCCGGTTACAGCACTCAAACGTACAGCTTCTTACTAGAAACTCAGAGGACACTTTCACCCTGCCGCTAGGAACCAGTTTTTTTTAAATTGATTTTTGACACAAATCCATTACTTACACAAATTTGAAAATTAGGTAACGGCGCATAATGGGTTATTCAACGGTGATGGGTTCACGCATAAAGATCGTGTAATAACAATCGTTTCCATCACTCTGCAATCTGATACATCAGTGTGAAAAAGTTGAGTAATTAATTGTGCGTTAACCAGGACAAGTTTATTATATTTCACTTCGAATAAGTGATGCGCCTTGATTGGTCATTGATTTACGGAAAAATCCAAAGGTTCTAAACGAGTGAAACGTTTGGGTTTGCCCAAGTTGCAATTTGCATCTATATGTAAGTAATTCTTAGATTTTCGCACTCTGAAAAAGGTTTTCCTGTACCTAGCTTATGAATCTCGACTTTGCGGTAGTGAAGTTCGAAGGGGTGCAACAAATTTTTTTCCTGAAATGTTCCTGAAACCTTCATGCCTACTTTATGTCAGAAGCTTTAATTTCCATGACAGTAGCAGTAAAATTTTTGCTGCCCCCGTTACTTTACCAGACCCCTGTCAAAACTGGCAATTTTTTTATATGATTAGAAATTTTATATTATTTATGTCCTGACTATTCAGACCGTACTTAACTAATGTTCTTGTTTATTGTCGTATTTCCATTCAGAATTAATTATTTAGGTTACCATTATCTTACCTGTGGTCTGTTAATTACCCTAAAATCAAAGTCTATTGGTCACCATTTGATGATTCAACAATTGTTGATTAAAATATATTGGTATAGGCGAGGGTATAGGTAACCTTGGAGTTTACAGTGAGATAAGTGTGCCTTTAAGTAATTAAGATATGCATGGTAAATAAGTTTGCCCTCTCGTAACTGTTAAATTTCAAGGGGTTGTGCTGCACCGTGCGCATAAGTTGCATCTTCTTTCATTGTACAACGCCAGAGTTGCCTACCCACTTGACGTGCTCTTTCTCTCTTATTCATACTTTAAATAATAACTTTACTTATTGCAGTACATTTAACATTTGCTTGAGTGTGCCCGAACGATATATACGTAATCAGGACTAATCTCAATAGATTAAGTACCTGTATTAGAGTCGTTAATGTGTGCATTTCTTCGACAATATGTTAGTAAGCCGGTAGCCAGCATAGTTTAATGTATCTCCAGTTCTCCACGCTTTTTTTTCTTAAATTGAGTGTTCAACTTTACTAATTTGTATAATTTAATTAAAGCGAAACAATACCATATTGATTTAATATGGATTTGAAGTTGCACAATAATGACAAGCCGAATCCAAGGGAGAACGCCAACATTCTTTCCATTTGCACTCTATGGTAAGTATTTTTTAATTTTTATTTTCCTGGCGCAAACACATTTTTAGAGAACCGTCATTTAATGTTGTCGCCGTATAATGAATTAAAACCAGTAGTGATTTAGATAATGTTAACCGTTCTTGTTTATTAAGGATGATACCTATAAAATTTAGAGAGGTTCGATTTACCTATTATATGACATTGAGGAGTTGCGATAACAACGATATTCTTTAAGTACGTTTATGCGTAGTGCATTTTTAGTAATCCCAAAAATGTATGATGCACTCAAAACCACACTAATTGTAAAAGATCCAATTTATACTTTTTTGAATTTCAAATAGAATACGCCACGGAAACCTTATACCTAATCAAGCGCCTTGGGGGATTTTCTTAGGAAGTCAATGATGTATTTCCTTGCTCTTCATTTCGTTATATTTCGGGAACAAACGACAATATTCCATTTTTGCCTTTATTTTTTGATATGATATGAAATAGTTTGTCATAGATTTTGCGAATTGTTTAGAATTTTTTCACGCAACAGCACGATAAAGGCAAAAGGCAATTTTGAATGTTAAATCTGAACTGTTTTCGTCTTGAAATTGCACTCGACTTCCAATTTTTATAGTTTTAATAGTCTTGACGGCAGTTCCGATTGCTTTTTAGGGAATTTTTTCGAAAGATTTTAGTAAGGTAATTAGTTTAGTGAAACTTCTGGAAGCCAAATATGTTCGTAAATATTTATTTATTCCTATGAAAATATTCGTTACCTATGGACTGCTTTCTAAGTTCGTAAGAAACCTTAAATTTCTCAACACATTTTTGTCGTTATTTTTGTAAGTAAAAGCACAGTAAACATGTTTAACTTTTTAAGGGTAAGGTATGTAGATGGTGTGTCTCGTTATTTTGAGTGATCGTTTTATTAAAACGGGAAAGCTCTTAGGTTGAAAGCTTTTTTGTGAAATGATCGTAAATAATACCTTCTGCCTATCGTTTTCTGTGTTCGAAAAAGGAGCTAAACGTTCTAATTTTCCCGGTGAACAAAATGGAAGTAACAAAAAGATTTCATTATCACTATTTTCAATCAGAACGCATTATTTAGTTGCTCGATGCTGGTTTCTTCGCCCCTTTTTTCTTTCGTCATGATACTTTCTTTAAAGTTTCTTTCTTTTTCACATCCCTTCTCCAACCTTCCTTTAACGATCTAAACTCTGTAGATGTGCTTCATATCTCCTTCACACCTCCACTTTTGTAGCCTCTCTTTCCCGGTTTTCAGCCCCTTACATTTACAGTTCTTCGGTTTAATCACCCCTCGTTCGTTCACTTCTCGTTTACTTACTTACGCCTTTTCTATTATATACGTTTATACGTTTCTTAGTTTGCTTTCTGATTTCCTGGCTAATAAATAAAATATATCTCAATCCACAATCCGCTTACAATTTTCTCATTATTCTGATTTCGATTACTTTCTTATCCTTAACTTTTTGTTCGTGGCCACGTTTTCTCACTTACCTAATTTTTTATAACGATGGATAAATTAAAACTACCCTATTTCCCTATTATAAACTCCTATTTTAAATGAATAAATTCGGACCCATTCACATGGACAATTTTAATGACTAAATAATCGGAATTTCGATGGAAATTACTTGAAAATTACACCCCTGGAAATAGATCCTTAAGTAAATGCTTTGCACATAATAAGTGAATGTTTTTGTAAGTCAATCTACACAAATTGGCGCCCATTAATAATCACGCTAAATTCTAATTACTATTCTCTATCAATGAAATTTTTTCTCTTATGATAAATATAATTAAACAGATCCAAAGAAAAACAATTAATAATATTTATTGATGTTTTACACATGGTGTTTACCCACGTCATTTTAAGTATGCAATGTAAGAGACAAACGAATATAATAAATTACAAACAAACATAATAATTATTCAAACTATTCCATTATTTCACAACAATTATTCGTAAAAAATTCTTCTAGTGAATAGAAAGCCTTTTTTATTAGATATGATTTAATTTTAGATTTAAACTCCTTTTCATTGCAATGTTTGAGAGCGGTGGGCAACATATTAAAAAATTTTATGGCAAAAAAATTAGGGCCGTACTGACTTTTTTTAAGACGTAATAATTAGGTACGTAATTATGCATATTTCACGTATCGTAATTGTGAAAGTCCGAGTGGCATTTCAATTTTTGGCAATTACTTTATGTTTATGTTTATGTAAATGATACAGGTATAATGTAAGGGCCCCTACTATTCTTTCTCATTATCTCCCATCCACAAAATGGCTTCTTATTAATGAAATACGGCCAACTTCACTAGTTGGTTCGTTTGCTTCATTTTTGCACTGCCAATTAAATAAAAAAGGGTAATAAATCAAATCCCATGCATGACCAACATATACCAGGTGGCATTTTTCACGATACTAAAATTATCTTAGGCGTATTCAGTGGTTTGGGGTAGACAACGCCAATTAAGATACTCACTTTAGCTCTAGTTACAACGACATTTCGTCTCAGAAAGGACAATCTTCAGTTCTACCAATGCTTATAAATTTACTCTTGAAATTGCAACTACACAATTTATTGGAAAATCCGCCCCCTAATTCCGAAACCCTGTAAATTTTCTCTGGTATGTAACATCTACCTTGAAATGTCAAAAAATTTACCTACCTTTATAATTTTCGAAAAAATAAATTCAAATTTAGAGCTACCGTTACAGTTTGTTTCCCTCTCCCCGAATGCATATTTCACGTTCTGTCATAGCTTACTCTTTCCTGTATTTTTCTTTCGGTACGCATTTGTCATCAACTTCTTTCCTTCTTCATGAGTATTTTCCGTCGACTATCTTCGCGTGTCTGTTCTCGGCCAGTTCTGCTCTCCTTTCTTTCTTTTCTTTTTACATTTCATTACCTACGCATTTTTCAATTAGCGTTTCTCCTCAGTGACTTTTTACACTGATTCCTTTAAAACCTTTCTTTCAGCACGATTTGAGACCGAAACCGAGGCCTACGAAAAAAAAAGGAATCGACCGATTTTAAGAAATCAAACGTTTTTATAAAGCACTTCGAAAGACTTCTCAAGCAAGCTATTACTCGATACCACTTGTCATTTAAAACTTTTAAGGGAATAACCCTGAGGGACAGAGGGTGAAAGGGGCTGAAGGAGTTTTTGCTTAAAAAGTTGTCCCCCTTCACAAATCTTTTAACGTGTTTCGAAGTTTTTTCTTTTAATCAGTGGTTTTCGATAAATCCGTGGTGGGAAGTTTTCAAATGAACACCTTGTATATTTATATATTAATCGGATTTTTTGCAATGTTTTCTAATTTTTCACTTTATTATTAGTAATCAGTAAACTGGGGAAACATTGGTCCTTTTTAGACAACTTTGGTCCATGCATACGCATATAAAACATATTCCTATTATAACTCTTGCTAAAATCTTCATATTTTTCTTGGTAAACAGCCCTGTTTGCATCTGGAACATTTTGTTACCCTTAGGCACCTACAGGCTTTCAAACTATAATAATATAATCGATGGTTTGTCATTATGTGGAAATTTCATTTTATCGACGAATTGCTCCATGGAAGTAAAAGTTTTATATTGAAAGGCTGCGGTTGCGTTGAAATTTTATAATATTATTATAAGAATTGGGTTGGACTTAAAATGTTGTTTATTGGTAATTTTATTTTTGAGGGAAATTTGTCCAAGTTTTGAGGCAAAATTCCACCAGCTTAAAGTAGCTTGATTCTTTTCTTGAAATTAATTTCGAACCATTTATATTTGGTTTTAAAATGACTCAAAATCAATTTATAAGCTTATAAACGTAAGGTAAAGCTTCCTTTATACAGCGGTCCGTCCATGCGTATGAAATAAATTCATTTTAGCGTTATTATGTACAGGCTTAAGTACAGGGAAGAAAACCTGAAAAAGGTTGTTATTGGTAGTTATAGTATAAAAATGTTATTCCTTTCTAGCACCCCTCTGAATTATAGGCACCTCTCAAAAATATTAAATTTAAGATGGATTTTTAGTCAAGTAAGTTAATTATTTCCGATTCAAATTAGATCTATGCTCGAATTTACGTCTTCTTTAGTGAAATAACCAAAATATGTTTAATCCGTGGCTAGAATCCTTGCAAAACTTCACATTGTGACAAAGCTTTTGGTTTGCGTGAAACCAATAAGGTTTAGATACTTGGACATTGCTCTGATTCTTCTCGTCATGGTAGTAGCAACATTACTTTACTCCTCTTACTTGCAAATATGTGATGCATCGCATAGATAGACGTTTTGAAGATTAGATTGCTACAATTTATTAAAAAACTCTTGGTTCACAAGTCTGAGAATCGATACGTTATCCTTTTTTCAATTCGGCGCATAATACAAGTTCATGAAAAACACATTATTATTATGTAATGTTACATAATCATAGCATCTGTTCAAGCAGAAGTACACTTTTTGTGTTTATGTACGTTATAGTGACAATTAATTTCTGACATCTGGTCACCTTAATTAAGAGTCGCTATCTCCAGTAAGTAACTTTTAAGAATGATCATCTCGTAGTATCTTCCCATTCGAAAGAAAGAAATATGGATTCATTAAGATGAAGCTTATTCAGACGTATGAATTGGATAAGGGCTCCAGTTTCAATTTTATTGTAATATAACTCACTTAAAGAGAATTAAAACAATCATTTTTAATTAAAATTCTTAACGCATTTCGACTGCAGTGCAGCCAAAGTGTCATTTAATAATATATAATCCACTAAGAGATAAATTAGTAGATGAGTTTCTAGAAACAGTTTAAGTATTTTGAAGGTTTGTTAAGCAATTTTTTGAACATCGGTCAAAATGTCTCTTCTTACGAATAAGCAGCGAATTTCGTGTGTAATAGCGAATAACGTATTAAATGTACATACAGAATGTAGCATCAAAGAACCCTCTGATTATAGTTTAAGTACGAGTACTTATATTTTTATGTAACTATACCATTCACTTTAACGATTTTGCTATTTTATCTTTTTTCCCTCAACATTTGAGCATTTTACAAATTTTGTTTCAGAGAAACTAAATCGCACCGGCGGTTAACTTTTGAATTGGGGCACAGAGATCTCTTCCACTTTAACATAATTATTTTTAAGTCTTTTTTTGAAATAAGAAAGTTTTTCATTGACCGCCAAGAGCCTAATATTATTTTAAAATTTGAAATGGTACCCTCGTAAACAAAATATGGCTCTGATTAGCAATTTCTACTAATACCAAAAAACCACACATTTCATAAGAAAATTTTAGAGAAAAAACAAGTCGAAGCACCAATTTGTAGAAAAAAGTTGTTTTCACAACCCGAGCTGCCATTAAAAAAAATATGGTTAACATGATGTTTATTAAAAAAGTTTTGGATGGATTTACAACTACCAAAGCGAAAATGATACACGATCAAAAGGGGTTACGAAATCTAGCAACTTAAAATAAATGTTCGAAATGTTGGTGGTATATCCGCCACCCGAATTCAATCGCAAAACCTGATTTGATCAAAATTTCTTTGCTGGTGCGATCTTATTAATCTCGATGGTTATCAATTTTGCATCATTTATAGACTGAAAAAAAGAATATTAATTTTGGAATCTGTTTCAAGGTATACGATTCCCACCTTCTTGCTTGGGAGGAAAAAGTCTATTGAAATATCTGATGTATACAAAACGCTACCCTACCATCAATCAAAATCATTGGGAGATAGAATTGAGCTTATTTGGAAGACAGAAGAATCTAAAGCTTCTAATGCTAAAAGGCAGCCATCGTTAACCAGAGTCCTGTTCAAAATGTTTGCAGCGAGTTATGCCCTCCAAATGATACCATCGGCGTTTAGCGAGCTAGTAGTCAGGTAAATGGACATGATCCATTGAGAGGGTTTCATTTGGGGGCATTACAGATTACTACAACCTTTGCTGTTGGGACAGCTGATAGCGTACTATGCTCCAGGACAGACGGACATCACGAAATCAGAAGCTTATGGCTACGCCGCGGGCGTCGTGGGCTGTTCGCTAGTCCTGGTTTTTGTCGTATCGCTGAATTTGTTGTCGTACACGCAAATCGGTATGCAAATGCGGGTAGCTACGTGTTCCCTAATTTATAGAAAGTCCCTAAAACTGAGCAAAGGGGCGTTGCGGGAAACCGCCGTTGGACATGTAGTTAACCTGTTATCTAACGATGTTAGCAGATTCGACTTCTTCATACAACTCTCTCAGTACCTCTGGATTGGACCACTCCAAACAATAATTGTCTCTTACTTCCTGTACAAGGAAGCTGGAATATCTGCGATAATTGGCGTAGTTGTGTTGTTACTATTCATACCCTTCCAACGTAAGAATTTTGCGGGGTGATTTGGGAAAACTTACAAAATTTGTTACAGTTGTGATGGCGAAGTTAATTGCGAAATTACGGGCCACAGCGGCGAGGAAAACCGATGAGAGGGTGCGTGTCATGAATGAAATTATTTCCGGAATGCAAGTTATCAAAATGTACAATTGGGAGACACCTTTCGTAAAACTGGTCTCTTTACTTCGCAGGTAAACATTTGCACCGTATTTTTGCAACTAACTATGCTGTTACTTTTAGGAGCGAAATAAAGTTTATACGAATAATTTCATTTATACAGGGAGGTTTCCTTTCTTTCTTCGTTTATGCGGCTCCTCTTTGCTTATTTATATCCATGCTGTTTTACTCGCACCTTGGAGAAGCAATAACAGCTAAAAAAGTGTTTGTACTAACAACATACTTCAACATACTTCGTATCAACATGTGCAATATATTTACGCAATCCACTGCACGAGCTGCGGAACTCAGTATATCAATCAAGAGAATCAATCACTTTTTAAGGAGCGAGGAGGTTGATCAAACGTTACTTGCCAACAAAAGTATGGCAGTTTTGAAACCAAATCCCCAACAAGATCACCACGCGATTTCCATCATTGATGGTCAGGCGAAATGGCTGGAGTCATCTACTGACCTTGTTTTATCGAATATTAATCTGAAAGTGAAACGTGGTTCTCTAGTAGCTATCATTGGTCCTGTTGGAAGCGGCAAGAGTAGCCTGCTGCACGTTTTTATGAAAGAGCTACGGTTGGTAAAAGGAGACATGGAGGTAATTGGTAATATTAGCTATGCATCCCAAGAGCCTTGGATCTTTAACGGAACTGTTCGCCAAAATATAATCTTCAACAAACCCTACTCGGAGCCACACTACAGAAACGTAATAAATCATTGCTGTCTCGACAGCGACCTTTCGTCCTTACCACATGGCGATATGACAGTGGTTGGTGAACGGGGAGTAAGCTTAAGCGGAGGACAAAGGGCCAGAGTGAACTTGGCTAGGGCAGTATACCAAAAAGCAGATATTTATTTACTGGACGATCCTCTTTCGGCAGTAGACACTCATGTGGGAAGAGAATTATTTGACGAGTGTATTAAAGGGTTTTTACACAATAAAACGGTCGTTCTCGTAACACACCAGCTGCAGTATTTGAAAGAAGTCGATAATATCATTCTTCTGGAAAATGGAGTTGTACAGGCAGAGGGAACCTTTGAAGAACTGCAACAGTCAGGTTTGAACTTCGCCAAACTATTACAGGCCGAAGAAAAGGACGCGAGAGTATCCTCTCAGAAGCAGTCGGAGGAAACGGATTTATCTTCCGCTGAAGATTCAGATGACGTTAAAGCTGATGGCAATGAGGAGCAAAAATCCGAGGGAACTGTCTCCAAAGATGTTTATAAATCATATATTAAAGCGGGCTCCAATTGGTTTTTTATATCTATTGTGTTTCTGTTATTTTTAGTTTTACAACTAACGGTTAGCTTTGCTGAAGTTTTTATTGCACGATGGTAAGCTTTCTTGCTTTGTGATGTGGAGGTTAACATTTTTCGCCAGGGTTACTGCGGAGGAGAATCGTTTCAACGCTACACACGCTGCACTAGAATCTGAATTTTGGAATCTCACCACCGAGACTTATATTTACGGTTATGGAGGAATTATCCTGATGATTGCGATTCTGACAATCTTCCGCAATTTTTCCTTCTACACAATTTGCATGCGATCATCCGAACGGCTTCATTACAATATGTTTAGCAGCATCATTCGGGGGACGATGAGATTCTTTAACACCAATCCATCAGGAAGGATTCTAAACCGATTCTCGAAGGATATGGGCTTAATTGATGATATGCTACCGGTAACCATCTTGGACAGTTTTCAGTATTCTTTTATGTTGTTGGGGATAGTTGTGGTGGTCGCTACCGTCAATCCATGGCTTTTGATACCAACTGTAGTCATATTCGTTATGTTTTACTTTCTGAGGGCGTTTTATTTGACTACTAGCCGCAATGTGAAACGATTGGAAGGAATCGGTATGTATCTACCCAAAGCGAAGACAGTGATACTTATTGAATTTTCAGCAAGAAGTCCTGTTTATGGACACCTGAATGCGTCTCTACAAGGATTGAATACAATTCGTGCACTACAAGCGGAATCCATTCTTATCGACGAATTTGATGGTCTTCAAGACTTACACACTGAAACGTACTTTTTATTCCTTTCATCATCGCAAGCATTTGCTTATTACTTAGATCTCAGTTGCACAGTTTACATAGCCTTAGTAACTTTCAGTTGTCTCCTCGTCGAAAGCTGTACGTATCTTTACTAGCATGTGTTCACGTTTTTAATGATGAACGCCTTTCAGCTATGTCAGGAGGAAATGTCGGCTTAGTCGTCAGTCAGTCCCTAGGACTTATAGGTTTATTCCAGTGGGCGACGCGACAATCTGCCGAAGTAGAAAATCAAATGACATCCGTTGAACGAGTGTTTGAATACCAAAAAATAGAATGCGAGCGATCTCAAGAAATCGAAGAAAAAAAGCCCTCGGATTCTTGGCCGCAATTCGGTGAAGTCAAATTCGTTAACGTATTCTTACAGTATTTCCCTCAAGATCCTCCCATTCTAAAAAATTTGACATTCACAATTAGACCGCTGGAAAAAGTTGGAGTTGTTGGTCGAACCGGAGCGGGAAAGTCAAGCCTTATTAACGCCCTCTTCCAATTAACTGATACTAGCGGTTCCATTTTAATTGACGGAATCGATATTCAAAAAATCGGATTGAGCGATTTAAGATCGAAAATTTCAATCATACCCCAAGAACCGGTACTTTTCTCGGGGACCATTCGTAAAAATCTAGATCCATTCAGCGAGTACGCTGACGAAATGCTGTGGAAAGCGCTTGAGGACGTTGAACTGAAAGATGTTATTAAAGAGTTAAGCCTAGGTAATATACAGTTACTCCAAAGCAAATGAAATTTAACCAAACTTTTCAGGATTGAATTCCGCCATATTTGATGGAGGATCGAACTTGAGCATCGGTCAACGACAATTGATCTGCTTGGCGCGTGCGATTCTGCGCAACAACAAAATATTAGTGCTAGATGAGGCTACCGCCAACGTGGACCCCCAAACCGATGGTCTTATTCAAAGCACTATTAGAAATCAATTTTCCCAATGCACAGTCATCACGATTGCACATCGCCTAAACACTATTATGGACTCCGACCAAATTCTGGTGATGGATTCTGGCACTCTCGTCGAATTTGGTCACCCACACACGCTTTTACAAATTACAAATGGAGTGTTTTATGGAATGGTTTTACAAACCGGACCGACGATGGCCAATTCATTAATGGAAATTGCCAAAAAGGTTGTACCGTCGAATATTGGGATTTCTTTAACTTGTTTTTTTTTAGAATTTTCACAACACGTCAGAAACAAAATGAAGTGATTAGCATTAGGAACTTTAGTTTAATAATGTTTTTGTGCGTATTTTTGTCAGTGAAGTGATGTATTCAATAAACTAATAAATCCATCTGGTAAAATTTTACAACTGTATTCCAACTAAAGGAAAATGTGGGGATGAAACTGCGTTCTTCACGGACCGATAACGGAATCGCCAGGCGATATGTTATGATTGTTATGTCGTGGGAATTCCCGAACATATCACTCACTTCTCGAAGGTGCTGCCCAAAATTTTTTTTGGCGGTAAGGCGTAAGCTGGGTCTCGGCGTAATTTCGTTCTTCTGGGTATCGCATCGAAGAAGATTTGCTTTTAAAAAGGCACGGCTCGGTACTGAACAGACGTATCTCTCCTTCCGGATATTTTATTACAATAATGGCCGTTTGCACCGACAAATTTAAGCGGAACTTAGCTTAAGCAAACAGCCATTAATAATTATTTATGATCCTATTTATTTACATGTGAAATGAAATTACACTTCTAACCGCAATTATTACTTTGTATTACTAATATAATAATATAATAGTCCAGTCAAATTACGGTTTGGGCTCGATGTTGTCACTGCACTAAACGAAACCAAGCGTATTCGATGTAAAAAAATCCGCTAAATCCGAAAATCATAGCCCCCCTGGCCGGAAACGGCCGGAACATATTGTTATTAACAAAAAACGAAGAAAAAATGAGGAGATGTGTTTTTTCGCATTTGACTTCGAATATCTCGTTAACTGTTGTTATGAGGGAAAGAATGAATAGAAATGAACTTTTTAGAATAAAATTTTCTATAAGATTTATGGCCGTTTGCACCGACAAATTTAAGTGGAGGTTAGCTTAAGCGTAGCTTAAAATCCATGGCGACGATTATTGAGACAATGGTTGCCATGGATTTTAAGCTACGCTTAAGCTAAGCTCCGCTTAAATTTTTGATAACAAAACAATATGATATGACAAATCAGATCACCGTAGGTTTCCTAGTAATTTATTAATTGAATAAACAAGTAAAAAAAGGATGCTTTGTTTTTCAAACTGGGTACTACAAGAGAGTTCTCAATTTTTTTATACACAGTTTAACTCGAATTAATACAAATCATTCATTTTGGTGAAATACAAGCATAAAAAAGTTCACGCTTTAAAGAATCGATCGGTGCGACCCGATTTGCAAAATCATTTTTGGTTGTTTCGAAAACTGGCTTCAAAGTCAAAGGCTGATTTCTCGTGAACTGTTAATCGGATTTGTACGTATTTTTTTTCACCTATTATAGAGTTACATTTTTTGTTTTTTTTGTTATATTGCGAGAGTATTCCATCTTCGAATTCCGAAAAAAAATTTTACAGTCCGTCGATTTGCAAGAATCATCGGGACAATTATTGGAAAAGATTGTTTTAGGGTTAAACCTCGGGTTAAACTATGTATAAGAAAATTGGGAACGCTCTTGTAGTCCCTCACTTTGAAAGACAAAGCATTCCTTTTTTAATTTGTATATTTAATTAATCAATTACTATGAAACTTACGGTAATCGGGTTTGTCACCTGACTGACTGAACCGCTTTTCATTTTCTTTATAACAAGCTTTTGCATTTGGATTTTGCAGGTACCAACTTTTTCTGCTTCTGCAAGTGCAACAATGCCACTGAATGGACTTCAACCGAAGTCGTTTTACTTACAACGACTTTATAAGCAAACGTCAAGTGACATTTCCATGACAATCATGGAATTGTGAATGATAAGCCCACTTAATGTGTGTAAATATGATTTTTTAGGCTATCATCACAAAAACGTTGATTTTGTGGTCGCTTTTGCGGCCATAAAGTTTCACTTTATTGTACGCTTCTGTCAAGCTTTACTTTAGTGTACACATCTGTCAAACTGTACTTATTTGAAACTGATGTGTGAGAAACAGTAACCTGTTTCATACAAAGCGTCTATCTGGTCTAGCCCCATCAAGGATTGGGTCATCTACGTGCGTTTTTTTCATTTTCGGACTTGTATAGGAATGTTTCACACTATTTTGCATAATCACAATGTTCACATTTAAAATTATAGTTTGACGTTTCAATCTTTGCTGCTTGGAGAACTTTTTGAAGTGTAGGTAGAACCAAAACATGAGGAAGATGTTATTGCTTACATTATTATACGAAGAATCACCAGCAATTAACCGAGAACACAAGTAGCTATCTATACCTACCATCAAAGTAGGTAATCAGGTTTCCAATAATTGTACAGCATGTTAACTATAAGGTCTTGGAAGCTACAGTTACGAAGAACCTATTGCATTTGACATTATTAAAATCTTGTGCAACGGAGGAAGTTGCGATTGTACTTTTACTCTCAAACGCCTGCTCTTATATCATACGTATATGACTTAGGGTCGCAACGCTTCCAGCTTCCAAAATTTCATTTGGGGTATCTGAACTGTCGCTATCACCCATTTTGATACGCACACACGCAAAGATGCTAATTATAATTACATACGACAGGAAATGCTTTGTTTTTAATTGTCTAAGATAACTATGATTTTCAGAAAAAATATGTTTATGAGCAAATTTTTGAATTCTTTTTTGATGATCGCCTAAAAAATGTTGTGTGCAACTTGGCCAAAAGTGATTTGTTAGGCCTCATCTGAACAGCAGCTTCGGCCAAAAAAGATCACTTTTACGGCCTTGGTACACAAATAACTATTATTTTATTTGCCTAATTTTTAAATTATATATTGCAGGAATAATAAAAAATAATATAAGAAACGCGTGTACAATTGGTCTTTAAAGCACTTGCAACTTTTAAAAGTACTCCGCTATATTTTCCGCTGTTTTTTAATATACTATTATATGTTACATCATTAAAAAAGACGGTAATAAAAGACTTTTCACATGTATATTTTTACATAATTTTTCGCCAGCTTCCGTTGCAATTTTATAATTGTTGATGATGAACGATCCAAATGGGATATAGGTACGAGTATTTTCGCCCATAATCGCATTATTATTAATTAATTGCCCAAAAATTGACCAAGACAGAAAGAGCATATAAGTTCATTATTTTGGGTGTCAAGGTAATGTAGTTTGCCGTTTCCTTGATGAAATTGGTAAGGAATTGAAAATTTGCTCTACCAACTTGATGGTATGACAGAGAGAGCGCAATATTTAACTCCTTTGAGTCAAAGCAATGTGGTTAGCAGGTTCCCTGATACAATATGAAGATTTTTCTCTATACCAACTTAACCAAAATTGGAGTATGACAAAAAAATTAATTTCTGTGTATTATGTCACTTTTTTTTCCGTTTTTCCGACAAAATTACAGATTACAACAGATTACAGTAATTGACAGTCTTGTCTCTAATGTCTCGTATGTCCGTAAAAAACGCTGAACCGTACACCACGAATTTAATGTAACGGAATTTCAAATTACATTTTACTAGTACGTTCTTCCATCCGATTGTAGTTCTGCAACAATATTCTAGGTAATCAGAAATAAAAACGTACACATCTCACCTCCTCCGCTTGCTCGAAAAGAGCCTTTGCCATACCGGTTTGCGAAACCATCTGATAAAATGCCCCGCTTGGATTTTGTAGAAGAATGTGTGGATGACCAAATTCACTTACAGTACCTTCATGTATGACCATGATTTTATCCGAGTCTATGATGGTATTTAATCTGTGTGCGATTGTCAGTACTGTGCATTGGGAAAATTGCTTCCGAATGGTCTTTTGGATGAGCGAGTCGGTGCAGGGATCCACATTCGCGGTGGCCTCGTCAATTACCAGCAGCTTATTATAATTTAAAATTGCACGGGCTAAACAAATGAGTTGTCGCTGACCTACACTCAAGTTTGAACCTTCCGCCGACACCAAAGAGTTTAAGCCTAAAATCAAGAGGGCCATTACGGTAATAGTCGTGGAATTAACCTTCTTTTTACCAAAACCTAAATCTTCAATTACTTTTTTTAATTCCACGTCCTCCAGTGATTTCCACAGGGCGTCATCTGTATACTTGTCAAGCGGATCAAGATTTCTTCGAAGAGTACCTAGGAAGAGGACTGGTTCTTGAGGTATTATGGATAACTTGGATCGAAAATCTTGTAAGTTCATTTCTTTAACGTCGAGTCCGTCAATCGTAATTAATCCACTAGTATCGGCGAGTTGAAAGAGTGCATTGATGAGTGATGACTTTCCTGCACCAGTTCTGCCAACTATCCCCACTTTGTCTAGTGGTTCGATTGTGAATGACAAATTTTTCAGTACAGGGGGCTCATCGGGGAAATAGTACAGGTTCACATTAACAAATTCGATTTTACCGCTACTGGGCCAAGTGTCTGGGGGTACACCTTCTGAAGCTCGTTCGTGTTCTATATCATTATATTCCAGTATTCGTTCCACTGCAATCATTTGGTTTTCCATTTCCACGTTTTGTCGCGTTGCCCACTGGAACAGATTTACAAAACCTAATGCTTGAGTGATTACCAAACCGACCGTTGCCCCATGTATAACTGAAAGTTATCCTGTAATTCGCTATTACTCTGCATACTAGCTACGTACAGCTTACGAAGTACATGCTACCGAATATAATTGTGCACACGAAAATTAAACAAACTACGTCTAAGTAATATCCAAAAGCCTGCGAAGACGATATGAATAAAAACCATGCAGCACTGTGCAAGTCTTGATGTTTGTCAAATTCGTCTATCAATTTAGACTCAGCTGTAAATGCGCGAATTGTAGTTAATCCTTGAATAGATGAATTAATGTGTCCAAAAACTGAACTTTTGGCTGTAACAAACAACGATGATCCTAATATGTTGCAATTTACCATCAATACTTACTAATTCCTTCCAAACGCTTGGCTTTCCGGCTAGTCAGCAGGTACAAAGAAGCTAGTGATAAGAAAAGGAAAATTAATACTGCAATTGGAACCAAAAACCAGGGAGTAGCAGACGAAATAACGATAATCGTTCCAATTAACGTAAAGATCATATGTATCGCGTGCATGGTTATGCTTGGTAACGTGTCATCGATCGTTCCCATATCCTTTGAAAAGCGATTTAAAATCCTCCCGGACGAGTTCAGATTAAAGAATCTCAT